AGAGAGAGAGAGAGGAGAGAGAGAGAGAGAGAGAGAGAGAGAGAGAGAGAGAGAGAGAGAGAGAGAGAGGAGAGAGAGAGAGAGAGAGAGAGAGAGAGAGAGAGGTGTGTGTATGACTTACCTACCTACAGTATACAGACAGCTAGGGAGGTGAGAATGGACTGATGAATGTTTTTGGTATATACACGTATACGTAACTGCCGGCAGTCATTTTGGGAAACTCAAGAGCGTTCGTTCTCAATTTGTTGATACAACTTACAGCAGATAGAAAGCCATGGACGTTTGCTCATTCTAAACTCAAGTGATCGTCATATCAGCTTACAGAGGTAATTCTCGTGGCAATACAGATGCACATTGCAAAGACTTCTCTTTTCATTTTATTTATTTCTTTTCTATCTCGCCGACTATAACATCACTCTTTCCATCTATCATCGTCAAGTCACGTCTCGAGAAGTTGTTAGACACTCCCCTCTAAGTGGTCATGTGTCGGGGCAAGATCACTTCCTCATCCAGAATAGGCTCTCCAGCCTCCTCTCTCGCCAAATCCCAAATCCACCTACCATTCGGCTGCAACTTCTGACCTTGAGACAGCTGATGCGCGAGAAACATCCAGTTGACAGCATTTCCGACCGTGCCCACTTCGTCGCTGACATGCGAGGCAGCAAACGCGCTCATCTCCCTGTAACGCGCCTCGTCGCTGAAGAGCAGATCCAGATAGTGGGCCACAGATTTCCAGTCGCCCGTCTCCACTGTGAAGCCGGACTTCTCGTGCTGTACTTGTAATGGTATGCCGCCGGCTCGGGTGGTGATGACGGGAACGCCTTTGTGCAGAGCTTCCGAGACCTTGACTTCGAAGCCTTCGCGCGTGGAAAGCTGTAATGCGACCCGGGCGTTGGAGAGCAGCGCGTTGAGGAGTTGATCTGTCGGTCCGAGACGCATGAGGATGACGCTGTCTTTGATGTCGCGGTACTCGTTGTCCAGCCGATCCAACGTTTCATCCAATACCCGGACTCCATCGGGATCGTCGACGCTGTAGTGGCCCGCGACGACGAGCTGGGGCGTTTCATCGGGCGCCCTGTCCTTGCAGTATGCGGAGTGGCGGCGAAACTCGGCATAGCTGGCGAGCACATCTGGTATGCCTTTTGCAGGATCGAAGCGGGCAATCTGCACGATATACTCTCGTTTCGGGTAGGCCAACGTGTTCATGCGCTGAGCCATACACACAGTGTTGAATTCATGGATGTAATATGCAGTGTCGAAGTCGCTCAAGTCTTTGTTCAACCCATCCAGCCAATCTGTGGTCGCTGGCATATATGCGAGCTTCTTCTTTTCGACGCAGCTGGGGACAAATGTGCTGACGGGATGGGCAACGAAGAGATCGGCGTGCTTGACACTCGACCATAGCCACTCCCATACTTCTGCTGTAGGTTTGTCCGACCGGTCCGCAAGATCGGCTCGTACTTGAATGTGGGAGCGAAAGATCACGGGACGGGTGGGCTCGAGAGCTTTGGAGATGTCGATGATGTTTGGCATCTGTGGATCATCGACGATGATCACGTCTGCACCCCCTTCCGAGCTCGGTCGCAAGGGACCACCGGTGCGAGTCCAATATCGGTTTGCATTGTCCTGTGTCCACTCGTGAATGGCGTTTCCCTGTTCCTTGGAGAGACGTTCGTCGGGTGCGGCGACGCCTTGCAGAATGTTGTGATTCGTCTTTGTAATGCGAAACACCTCCGGCCTGGGCTTGGGAACCCACCACGAGCAGTCGATGCCGAGCAAGCGGAGAAAGCGGATCAGGGCATGTCTCATCAAGGCTACACCTCCACCCTGTGGCGTGGCGGAGAAGAAGGCGATCTTGGTGTTGCTCTGCTTCAATGCTTGGGCATAGTGCAGCGCTGTATGCCACGTGTGGTCGTCCACTGTACGTTGATAATCCCGGAGTGAGGTCAATCGGGCCCGATTGGCAACATCAACGTCCACTTTGTTGCTGAAGCCGACAGCGAGACGGGGCTGGTTGGACGGGCCATACAGTGCCAGACACTTCCGAGCCATCGAGTCGGCAAGCTCATCTACACCTGCCCCCATCATCCTGTTGCTCTGCCCTCCTGTCACGCCGCCATCCCCTTCTCCCAGCGTGACCAGTATCGGTACGATGTCCAGCTCCAACCAGAGTCGGGACAATACATCTGGACACACCTCCAGGACGTCGCTCGTGAGTCCCGCGCCAAGGAATTTGCACGAGTGCTGGACCGCGTAGTCGCGCATGGTGCCGATGATGTACTCGGCGATCGTCACCGCCTGAGGCCCTGTGCCGGAGGGAAGACGCACCGGACAACTCAAGCCATCACGTGCTACATGTCCGGCTTCGTTGAGGGTGTGGACGGCAAAATCGACGTTGTACGTGCCATCGTGGCAGGCTAGTCCGATCTCGACTTCGCTCGCAGAAGTGCGCTTAATGGCCAGGCCGAGGAACAGTTCAGAAAGAGAGATTCCGAGCTCGTTGTTTTGCTTGCGCAGGCGCTCTTGTCGCTCAATATGTCTCGTCGATGCTGCGGATTGGAACTCGTGTTGCGACAGTCGCCGACATTTCTGTTTTTGCAATGCCATGTTCTCTCTGTCTCTCTCTGGTGCTCAGAGTCGTGGAACGGAAACGACGTCTGTGATGCGCGTGTTGTCGTTCAATGAGAACCGGCTGACCCCTTACAGTATGGACCTACGTACATGTACATGTAGGTACACGGGTTTGCCGTGCTTGCTTTGTTGTCGCACAACGGTAGTGATGACGCCACTTCAGCTCGCGTGTTTGCACGAGCTCATCGTTCCAAGATTTAGTCTTTGCTTCTGGTCAATCGTCAGTAAGGTAGTTGTCACAGGACTCATGGAGTGAACATGATGGCATCAAACAAGCCCGCGCGACATGTGGCTTGTCAGAACAGTGGTGAGTGTGGCAGCGGACTAAGAAGTGTGGGGATTCTCATGACGAGACAGAATCATGAAAGACGAGCGAATACGATCGATAGGGAAATCATGTTTGGTCAGGAACAGGTCAGAGCTGTTGGGATTTGTTTTCCAGCCTAACTGTATTGGCATAAGATGGCATGAGGAGGCCGACGCATGATGGTCTCTTGGCCTCCTCAATCCTGCACCGTGCGCGCACAAATTTATGCGGCAATGGTCACCTCCACCTCAACACCGGCCTCGATGTTGATGATGATCTGCTTGACGACCTCAGTGGGTGCGTTCAGGTCGATGAGACGCTTGTGGATTCTGCCGTCTGCATTAGCAATCGCTTCTCCGTCTCTCTTACGCTCTGGTATGCAGTCTCGCCTCACCTCATCTCGAACATGTCCCAGGTCTTGGATCCCTCACCGCAAGGAGTCTTACGGGTAGAGATCTTGAGGTTCTTGGTGGGCATACGGACGGGGCCCTTGACGCGCAGCTCCTTGCTCTTGGCACGCTCGATGAGCTCGGTGCAGACCTTCTCCAGCGACTGCACTTTGCGGCTGGTGAGGGTGATGCGGATCTTGTGGATCTTTGGGGCGTCAAGGGAACCTCCCTTCTTGGCGTCCTGGAAAGACATGGCGGCGGTGATGGAAGTGGTGGGAGTGGTGGGGTGGTTGTAGGTGTTCGGTGCGGATTGCGATCACGACTGTGGTATAGTTAGAATCGCCGAGTTCAGCTCTCCGCATTGCCCATGTACAGACCTCGTTCTTTCGAATCGGCAAAGTGATGATCGTGAAGAGAGAAAGTGGTTCGCGGTGGGCGTGGGAATTTTGGAAAGTGTGTTGGAAAAGTTCGGTCACGTGATAGTCCAAATCTGGCAATGCGGTCACCACCACCTACTAGTAACTTTTGTCGCCCACCCCATTTGTCCATCTTCCCCATGTTCAGTATACATACCTAGATGGAGATGCACGTAGGTACATACACGTACATACACGGACTTCGCTTGTCCGCCAAGACATGGCGACCCTCATCTTCGCGCCGCTGCCTCCAGCAATCATCCGCCTCAGCTTGCGGCCTGAGGAATGGGACGCCTGTCTCGATGCTTGGCTGACCTTGTGCGAGTTGACCTTGAAACAACTCCCGCCCGCCGACCTCACTTCGAACACAAGCGATCATGCCGCCCTCCCCGGCTTTCTGGCGACTTACTACCGGGAGTGCAGCCTGTTGCAGCGAGATGATCACACCCTGAGCACCCCCAAAGCCCGCTTGCTGCGGAAAACTTGCTTCAAGATCGTATCTCGCATTTTTCTCGCAGACGCGCCTATTCCATTATCGCTATTGGACTTCTCCTTCTGGTCGAGCTTTTGCCAGGCTCACCTCAAGGCTACAGCCCTCCAGAAGCTGCTGGGCAAGGTATGGAAGAAAAAGGCCGATCAGCTCTCGCCGCGATTGCAAAAGCAAAAAGATCGGATTACCGCCGCTCTGGAGTCTAAAACACTCGAAGATGGCGTTCAACTGCTCGCTCAGCTTGCACCTATCCTCCATGCATCGACTGACATTGCGTTATTATTCATGACTGGTTCAGACTTTCTGGACTCGTTGGTCTCCGCCTATAGCCATGCGGTCAACGACGACCAGAAGAAAGCAATATCGACAGTGCTATATCTTGGCTTAGTGAGCTTACCCAGTACGGAGCCACCAAGCAATTCGCTTCTTTCGGACCATTTATACACTCTGAAAGGCCATAGCGACAAGTCTCCCCCCAATCAATCACTACTCGCGGATGTGATCACAAACACACTTCTCTTATCGAAATTGCGTCATTATCTTGCGGAGAAGACGGCCCCGGATAGACTGTTCAAACTGCTCGACACTCTGGAGACGTATCGTACGCCAAGCCTGGCGAGACAGAAGCGTCGGGTGCAACGTAGTCGCAGCCGTGCAAAGGGCAAACAAGTGGAATCTCGCACCGAGATCAACGTGCACCAGATGAGCTTGGTGACGCAAGTGCAAGATCTATTCCCCGACCTGGGATCCGGATTCGTGATGAAACTACTTGACGAGTATGATGATGATGTGGAGCAAGTCACGGCGCATCTCCTCGACGACTCTCTGCCGCCTCATTTGGCCTCACTCGATCGAAGTGAGGCCGCAGCAGTTCACGACAGCAGTCAAGCCGCCGAGATAGATAGCCTCGTGCCCCGATCGACGCCCCCACGAATGGCCGAGCCATTCATTCCTGATCGGCGAAACGCGTTCGATGACGATGAGTTAGATCGGCTCGACTTTGACACAAGCCGACTACATATTGGCAAACGAAATAAAAGCGTCGCAGCTGACGACCAGCCCAACAAAGCCGCGATCCTTGCTGCTCTCGCCGCCTTCGACTCAGATGACGATGAGAGAGACGACACATATGATGTTGAAGACGTCGGAGGCACCATCGACACGACAGCTCCAGATGGCGAGCCTGGTCCAGTGGCGAAGGTTACACAGGAAGAAAACGACAAAGCGCTCTTTACTGCCTATCAATCCCACCCTGAAATGTTTGGTCGCACATTTGACATTCGCCGAGGACAACCGCGGGCAGCCCTGAAACAGCAAACTGGCATGACTGATGAACAAATTGAAGGCTGGGCGCTCATGCTCCAACGCGATCCCAAGCGCCTCCAACGTCTCGAAACACAACAATCTGGTGCATTCACAGGACAGCAGACTGAACTTGCCAGCACCGCATACCACGGCAGTGCCGGAAATACCGAAACAGAAGATTCTGATGCCGCTCAGGGCTCGAGAGGTGGCTTCCGAGGACGCGGCAGAGGACGAGGGCGTGGTGGTGGTGGTGGTGGTGGTGGTAGAGGCCGAGGCGGAAATGTCGCTGGCCCTTCCAGTGAAGCCAGCACTGCGAATGCCCAACGGAAGAAAGAGGCCAGTAAATCCAGTCGTGCCAATCATAACCGTCGCGATCAACGCGCGAAGAAAATGGCAAGAGGGGGCTTTCCAGGCTAAGTACCTTAGATTAAGCCAAACCATTAAGCCAAACCATGAAGTACGTTGATGACTTGACTTGTGTGTGTGTGCGCATACGGTCTTCTAAATACCTACCTACCTTTTCGTATTCAAGCTTCATTGAATTCATGCTCACAATAGGAGGAAGTTTCTCCCTTCTCATCGCCCCCTTTTTTTTCCTCTTCGCAAAAGAAGAAGAAAAAGTCCCTAGTCATACGCCTATCCCAATTCACCCACACACCCCATCCGAGACAAGACAAGACACATAAACCACCTTATCTACAAACACAAATTTCCAACCAACCAACCCCACCACAGCCTTCTCACACAAACGAGTACTGTACCTGTGATCAATTCGCCGATGATCGTATAAGGTCTAGTTGCAGAAAAGAGAAATAATCTACAAGAAACAAGCGCGCGCGCAAGGGAGGGAAGGGCTTCGGTTCGCTTCGGTTCGCTTCGGTTGAAATACGTACCTATGTAGGCGCCTATAGAATGAAATTGATATTTTGATTCCTATTAGCGCTTCGCCGCTTGCAGAGAAGTGAATGAGGGAAGTGAGGTAAGTGAGGTAAGTGAGTGAGTAAGTGATCATTGATAAGGAGGTGAGTACAGGTATGTAGTGATAGAGTGACAAGTAAGTGATGAGCGAGTGACGAAGTGAAAGGATATAGACGTGATAGGTCTATGTAGTGACTACCTAGTCTTTATTCGATTGGGTTGATTGATTAGTTTGAGTTCATTGATTGGGTTCAAAAAAAAACTGTTCTCGCGATCTGCTCGCATTCCTGTTTTTTTTTCCCACCGAAAAGTCTGGTGTGATGATGAAAAAAAAAGTTATCACATTTTCTTCTGGGGAAAAAGTAGACTTGTACCTGTACATATATACATCCACCTTATACATATATACATGTATACATACATATATACATACATACGTGTCTCTCCCTACAGTACATCCCTCCCTCCCTCCCTCCCTCCCTCCCCCTTGTTGCATACATTTTATTACGATATCCATATCCAACCAGGTATCCTCATTGGCCAATCCCTTCAAAATTCAAGCAAAAGGTGCTTAAGGTTAGCTCTCGTCAGCCAGGCAGCCAGAATTATAATTCAATAGATCGACAGCTCCTCCTAGTCGTCCCCAAGACCTACTAAAGAGAGAGGGAGAGCGCGCGCGAGAGACCTGTTTGATTAACGCGCAGACTTTTTTGTTGGAAATTACAAAGTACTGTACGTACTGTACCTACACAGTTGTACATAGTGTACATAGTGTACAGTATTGCGCTATCAAAGCGAGACAAGAAGGGACGGATCCGGAACGGAACGGATCTGATCAGCAGAGCTTTTATAGATTCCGTTTCTTTTTTTCGTTTCGTTGCTGTGGAAGAGAGCCGATTGAGAAGATTCGATTCTGGGTCCGCTGTTATGGACTCTTTTGATGACATGGCGGAATGTATCTTTTCGAAATGTGCAGAAAGAAAGTCGTTGATGTGACGTTGGACGTGTGGTCTGACTCTTATGGTCTCGTACGACGAGGACAACAACAACATGCCAAGAAGAGCCAATGAACTACATATGTACTGTACTTCCCTTCCAGCGATTTGACCACCTTCAGTCAACCTCGGTATCCTTACTGTCGGCGAGAATTGGAGAGTTCCATAATAGAATTGGTTTCGCTACACGCAATCGCGTGTGACACCACTTGCACATATCCATAGCGTCACATGCGTCACCTAGGCTCTTAGCCAGACTGGGGTTCGCTATTCACCAAAGAGAAAAGAAAAGAAGGGTTGGTAGCGCCGCCGATTGATAGGAACTCGAGTACTCGATATCGCGTTGTGGGCTCGAAGCGCCGATCCTCAATTGCATTGGGGCCCCCCTGTGCAGCGTCTGTTGTAGCCTGGAGTAGTGCCTGTTGTAGCCTGGAGTAGTGCCTGTCGTGGTGTGATCCAGCAGGGGTACAAGCAAAGGATGTTCGGCGTGTGTGCGCTGTGCACGTTGTTGGAGCCTTGGAGGTCCACCTAGCCATGTGGATTGTGGAGTCTTCGACTACACCAACTGGAGGGATAAGGTATCTCGCTTGTTCGGCCGTTGTACTCCGGCTGGGGTAGACCTATCGCTGGGAAGGAGAATGGATCACACAGGGGCTCGTGTGTGAAATATCTTGAAGAATGACACCGTGCGCACCATGTATGACGGACGTATACACCCGCGAGAGCATGAAGCAGAATGTTCTTCAATGCAAGTTCAGCGACTTCCACTCGTGTTGTAATACAAGCAAGCTGGAAACGTACTGTAGGCAATGGTCCGTCGTTGAGCGAAGCGGGGAGACACTTACAGACTTGTCGTAGCCCGGAGTCTTGGTCTATACCTAGGCACGTTCCAGGTATCTTACGTTACCAGAGCCACACCATTCCAACGACGGGCACTGATGACTGCTCTTTTCGTCGACCCTTCGCCAAGAATCTTCTGCATTAGCTCTGCTACTACTATGGCAATCAGAAAAGCCTGGTTGGTGTTGTGGGAGTCGGCACCCTTGGTGAGCATTATCTACATTCGGAGTTCGAATGAGCCGTGTTTAGATGAGTGAGACATTTGCACGAAGATGGCGTGTGCAACAGCCTGTGACGGCTCGGCACATAACGATAGTTGTCGATCGTGCCACTGCTCCCAGGCTCGACCCCTGTACCCTTGTCCTTGACTCCTGGCACTCCACGCGCTCTGTGGCATCTGTGCGCGTGTGCCAGATTTACTCCGGGCTCGTGCCATCCAATGTCCCGAGCTCGGAACGTCAATGGGGCTGCATGGCAGCATGGCGGCATCCGACCATGCAAAATAGGTCAGAACTTTGGTCAGTCCAAGTCAGCTCGAAATGGGAGTCTGATTGGCATGCGAGGTTGAAGACCGGCCGTGCGGTCATCGCACGATGCATAGCTTTATCTACAAAAGCTCACCTCAGCCAGACCTTTCATTCTTGAGCACCCGAAATGCTGTTGGCATGGACACGCTCTGGAGGATCTTGTTTACAACCTCTTCCACTGGATATCGCGAGCTTTGCTGGTCAGTGCGAACGTGATATACGCTCCTTGGCGCCATCATGGTCGGCACTGTGCACTTTTTCAATACCAGTTGTACAGCGGTGGGACCGGGTTGTCCAGTCGAGAACAGCGTCTATGGCTACCATCCGAGCCTCGAGGTTAACGCCTTCCTGATCTCGAGCTTCGCCTGCTTTGCCATTATCCACATCAGCCTCGGCATCTGGAAACACACCTACTTCTTCGGGTCCTTGCTCGCGTTCAGCTGCATGGCAGAAGTCGCTGGCTATGCGGGACGTGTGATGCTGCACAACAATCCGTATGACACAGTCGGTTTTCACTTGACAATTACCTGCTTGGAATTTGCACCGAGCTTCCTGGCCGCAGCGGTGCACGCAACTCTCAACTTCATCGCATTGACCTTTGGCGCGACCACCAGTATCCTACCGCCGCCGATGTATACGTGGATGTTCATCGGCATGGACATGCTCTGTCTGGCGTCGTTGGCCATTGGGGGTGCACTCGCCGGGAATTTGAGGAGAGCGCCGGAACAGGGAACGGCGGGTTACATCATGATTGTGTGCGGCATGGCCACTCAGATACTCACTTTGGTCGTATTTGCGGGACTCGTGGTGGAATATCTGTATCGAACACGTCGAGCATGGCACCACGCTCCACTCGCGGCCACAAAACTTCTGGGGACTTACAAATTCAAGTTGTACGTTGCTGGTGTGTCTGTTGCATACACGACGGTCCTCGTGAGATGCACATATCGTCTTATGGAGCTTGCCGGAGGCTGGCCGAACGCTACGATGCATAGCGAGGCCAGCTTCATCGTGTTCGAGAGCTGGTAAGTGCGCACGTTGCCCTTTTCCTCAAGCCATGCATGACCGACCTTTCGGGCTAATCTCTCGCCAGCATGATATTCTTGGCAACAGCTGCCTTCACGTTGTTCCACCCGGGCTTCTGCTTTCCTTTGAAAGCAGCGCCTCGGCCCCAGCGGTGGACATTCAGAGGAAGCTGGACCAGACCATCGTCGGTGACGGAAAACCGAGATGACATCGAGGTGTGGGAGTGTCGGGGAATGTCATGCCAAGAAGCTCCCCCAGATGCGGCCCCGGACAAGCTTCCTCGTTTATCTGAGGCGACAGTGCAGAGCTCAGAAGGAACATTTATCAGTTCCAAGGCGAGCCAAGGAAGCCTGAAGGGTCGACAGAGCGGGACCTGCTGGTATTCCATAGACAGCGACAGCAACAGCCACATGGAGCAGCCACATGGAGCATCTACGAGCCATACTGGCCGGCGTCGGGAAGGGGATGCGATGCAGATATCGACGGCTGATTCTCAATCACGGTTCTGATGAGCCTATTGCATTGTGCCTATAATGATGAGGTGAGATCGTAAGGTATTGTCCTCGAACCAAAAGTATATAATGAGCATGAATGACTTGATGATTTGTTTCCGAGAATGATGGTGTTTGTCTGTATTCGGTGGTGGTGGTGGTGGTGGTGGTGGTGGTGATGATGATGATGATGCCGGTGGTGTTTTGGTGGTGGTGGTGGTGGTAGTGATGATGATGCCGGTAGTGTTGTGGTGGTGGTGGTGGTGGTGGTGGTGGTGGTGGTGGTGGTAATGGTGGTGGTAATGGTGGTGGTAATGGTGGTGGCGATGGTGTTGGTGTTGGTGGTGGTCGCCAAGCCCTCCTAGAATGGTCTAGCTCAAACTCTCTGCCAAGACGAGTAAAAAGTCCAAGGTGAGGTCTGTACAGGTACATATGACCTCCTCTCCACGAACAACCAACAAACATCAAATGCACTATCAATTGACTGTATTCTAGCTCTATGGGATCATTTCTACCAACCATGAATACGACCTACTTACTTAGATGAACTTACGCAGATACTCCACCAGCATCATCATAGCCATCGCTTGACCATACGGCATGGAAGTCACCGGGATATCTTTATAATGCTGGAGATCACTGCCCATTCCCGTCCCAAAGCTCACATCCATAAGTTCTCCATCTGGTGCAATTCGCTTCAAGACCGCATGAACGGCCTTGGCAGCAACAGGCTCGAACTCCTTGCTGATATAGCGTTTGCGCACCGCTTTCAGTATGCCGTACGCGAAACCAGCAGTCGCAGAGGCCTCGACATAGCTCCCCTCGCTCAGTGGCACATCCAGCAACGTTCTCCACGCGCCCTCGTCGTCCTGGAGCGTCCTGAGCGCCATGCATTGCGCTTGCAATGTATCGATGAGGTGTACGCGGAGTCCATCTCCCGGAGGCAGATCTAGGAGCTCGATAAAGTCGGGTATGAAAATGGTCAACCAGGAATTCCCACGCGCCCATCGCGCTCGCGCGAAATTGTGCCCGAATCCGCCGGGAGCAGAGTCGTCGAACTTCCAGCCGTGAAAGAATAAGCCTGTGGTCGGATCAAACAAATACTTGATGTGCAATAACACTTGTCGCTTGGCTTCTTCAATATAATGCGGTCGTCCGAGCAATTTGCCAATCTTGGCCAGCGGTAGGACCGTCATCATGAGCGTGTCATCCCAGAGCTCATTGTGGTTGTAAGTCAGGTATGTGACGTGCTGCATACCGCCAAATGGAGTACGTTCCAGCTCGTACATGGCCCATTCTGCCCACGAATCGAGCCAAGGAAGATACGTCTGCTCGCCTGTCTTCTCGTACAGGTATGCCAATGTCAGGAACACCGCCATCGTGTTGATGTTCTTGGAAGTTCCCGTGGCCAGTTGACCTTTGAACCATGCCTCCACGACGTCCAACGCAGGCGTGGAGCCGGTCAAGGTATGATACTGCCACACGCCATATAGACCTGGTGAAATCTCATATGAGCCATGTGATTAATTGCAGCCTGATGGGAAGAACGATACATACCAATACCGTGCGTCCACTCCCAATCATTCCATCCTTTCGTGTCGATTACTCTCCCATCTGGCAACCGCAGGAGGAATTTCCCCGTCTCATCCTTGATATTCACCAGATTCTCGATGAGCAGCTCGACTTTGCCTCTGATGTCTGCCGCATACAAGCCATCGATGCTGACGGATTGCTGTGGCATCTTGATTGGCTGACTGAATTTTTTTTTCTTCTCGGACGAAGACTATTATTATTGTTCCTGGTAGTAGCAAGACAATCAATCATCATTCAGCCTCGCCTCCAGCATCAGCATCAGCGGCAATGAATAATACCTACCTACCTACTCGGACCACACCCGCATCCCGAGAGAAGCTCACTCCTCGCTCCAATTCTCCCCCGAATGCCGAAGGATGATTTTACCACCCTATCGCCCGCTCCACACTAGCAATCCCTCCCCAACGTGCCATTTCTGCGGAGACCCCACAAACGATGCAAGCGTTGCAACGAACCTAAGCTCCTTCGGTTCATTGATCTTACTTTTGGGGGGTCGGGGTGCAGGACCTGATCCTTGCCAGCAGCAATTTCTGCCAATTGGAATGGAATCGCTAGTTCTCTCTCTGGGATCAGACAAGTCACGATGAGCGCCCGACAAGCATGGTGAAAAAACTACAAGTGTACAAACCAATTTATAGCACACGAGGTTGGATCCACAGCTGTTGTTGAGAGCGATAGTTGTAGTGGGAGACGACCTCCTACTACTTGCTCTTTTTTCTTATCTTCGCATTCTTTGATTGTACGCAATACGACATCATCGACCATGGGCAGCAGCAGCAACGAGCAGGTCACCGCCGCCGCCGCGGTGGTGTCGCCTGGTATCACGGAAAAGAAGAAGGTCGACTGGGATGCCTCCGAGGTCGAACGTGTTCACAGCCAGGATGATATGCAAAAGGATCATCAGGACTACAGTCGGATGGATGTGAGTGCGAGAAAAGCGCCTGCAATGCCCAACGATCATGATTCATTCGTGTATTGACTGAACGACCGTATACAGAACGAGGTGGCCAAATATGCATCCGCAACAGCCATCGCCATCAGCCCGGCGGAGAATCGCCGTCTGAAGATGCTCATCGATAAGAGAGTGCTGACGATTATGGTGTTGACCTACTTCTTACAAGCATTGGACAAAGGCACGCTGTACGTGAAAAGCGGCGATTGCAGCGATATCTGGATCTTCCTTTCTCTCCGCATCCAACCCATGAGGGGGGTAGTATCTGCTGACACGAGAATGAATTAATTTCCCTCAGATCCTTCACTTCCATCATGGGCCTGCGCGAGGACCTCCATCTCCACGGACAACAATTCTCCTGGCTGACCACGTGTATCTACATTGCCATTTTGATCGTCGAATACCCCATCAACTGGCTCGTCCAGCGCCTTCCCATTGCCAAGTTCCTCGGAACATGCATTATCCTCTGGGGATCGATTCTCGCCTGCCACGCGGCAGCAGTCAATTTCGCCGGCATCACGGCGCTGAGAACGTTGTTAGGAATTTTCGAAGCCGTGTGCCAACCGACATTCCTCATCATGAGTTCCATGTGGTACAAGCGAGAAGAGCAAGCCTTCATCGTCAGCTGCTGGTACTGCATGAATGGCGCACAACAAATTGTCGGCGGTCTATTAGCATATTGCTTCTCTCTCATCGGTAACGATCGATCCCTCAAATCCTGGCAAGCCATTTTTGTCACCTATGGCATTCTCTCTGTCTTCTGGGGTCTTTTCGTGCTGTGGTGGTTACCCGACTCTCCCATGCGAGCCAAATGCTTCAGCGAAGAGGATAAACAGCTGATGGTCGAGCGCGTGCGAAGTAACCAGACGGGACTTCAGAATAAAGTTTTTCGCAAAGAGCATTTGTGGGAAGCTCTTACGGATGTGCAATGCTGGTGTTATTGTCTCATTCAAGTCTGCACGACATTACCCACGGGTGGACTGGGAGCTTTTGCCAATATCATCATCAAGGGTTTGGGTTTCACGACGTTGCAGGTGCAACTCCTGGCCATGGTTCTCGGAGCCTACATTATCATCGTACTCTTCAGTTCCGCGTGGCTAGTGAAGAGAACGGGCCAGAACATTTTGGTCATGGCATTATTTTGCATCCCGTAAGTGTGTTGAGAGAGAATATACACACACGCACACACACAAACATCAAAATCCCCGACTGACTGACAATACTTCTTCTTTCAGATCCTTTGCCGGTACAATCGTACTCATGACAGTCGAAAATACCAACACTGCAACGGAAGCCGGCTTGCTCTTTTCCTACTATATCGTTCTATCCTTCTGGGCAGCCCAAGGTCTCGGCATGAGTTTACTCTCGCGAAACGTCGCCGGCCAAACCAAGAAGAGTGTCGCAGTAACGATGAATTTTGTCGCATGGGCCGCTGGGAATGCCATTGGTGAGTTTTTTTTTTTCTTTTCTTCTTATCTACACCCCGAGTTTAAAAAAAAGAAGAAAAAAGAAGAAAGAAAAACAAATAAAAATCTAATAAAAATCTCAAACTTCAGGTCCCCAAGTCTTCCTCTCCTGGGATTCCCCTCGCTACTTCATCGCCTTCGCCACTCATTTAGGCTGCTACACCTTATTAATTCTCACCCTCATCGTCTTACGCATTACTCTGATGCGCCGCAATGCCAAACGCGACCAGATTGCCAGCGCGGGAGTTTCCGAGGCCAAGGATGAAAATACTATGCATGCGTTTGAGGATTTGACGGATAAGGAGAATGCTGCTTTTAGGTATCAGTACTAATTGTAGTGGGGAGGTTGGTTGGTTAGTGGGAGGTTTAGTGGGCGGGTAGGGTAGTGGTATACATGTTGTGAAACGAATCTTTTTGGAAGGCTTGTTGTATCGTAAGTCGTAAAAGATCCTGCTCGTCCTCCTCCTCACAATAGAGCTGGATCATACCTGATTGGGGTTGTTATTCTTGGCTTTGTTGAGAAGAATATAAAAAGATGATATTGATGACCAAGCCATACACTTGTCCCCACACTACTCCACACGCCAAGTGCAACAACATTTTTTATATTACTTGAGTCTTGCCCCGGCAAACATTCCCCCGAACTGATTCTACTTACCCCCCCTCCCCTTTTCCCCCCGTTCCCGAGTGGACGGAGTAATTTTATATACAACATGGAAGTCAACAACCTATAGGAGATTATTCTTTTCTTCTTAATTTATTCTCACAAGGCTGATGCAGACTGCATTGATGCGTGCGTGGTTTTCTGGGTCCACGTGCGCATCATCATAATAAAACAAATGCCCTTCTTTTTTTTGGTCTGTAGACTGTGGCTACCAACCAACCAACCAACCAACCATATATGTTTTAGACTGTAAAATGTATAGGTAGTACTGTACCTTATTCCCCCCCCCAAAAATGAAGATAAATCTTCCCTTCATCACCAAAGGAGTGCTCTTCTTCTTCTTCTCCTTCGCAAAAATCAACAACGCCCTCCTCCTCGCCTCAGAATCCTCCACACGCCTCACCCTCTCCAACGACCGTCTAACCGCATCCGTCAACAAATCCGACGGCACAATCGACCTCCTCACCCTCGACAATCAAGACCTCCTCGGCCCCCGCAACGCCAGTATCGGAATCGGTCCCTATCTCGACTGCTACTGCATCCCCTCCGGATTCTACACTCCCGGTTCCATCGCCGCGCAATATTCTCTCCTCAACGGCACCGACTCGACAGGCATTTCCTGGGGAGGAATTATTCTGCACGAAATTTACCCTCCAACAGGCCAAATTTTCGAACAATATTGGTTTCTTCGCGATGGCGAAACGGGTTTACACATGTGGTCTCGCGTCGCATATTTCAATTCTTCAACCCCAGTTCTACGCAATTTGCAAGAATTGAGAACGCTATTTCGACCGAATTCGAATTTGTGGACGCATCTTTCTACCAATGCAGAGCAATTCGCTCCTTTACCATACCACAATCCTGCCGCGGGTTCAACGGGAAATGCGACGACAGTACAAGATGCCACGTGGAAAATTAATAATGCATCGGATCCTTATGTTCAGCAAGAAAGTGATTATTTTACCAAATATACTTTCTCGGATGTTTGGCGGGAACATACTGCTCATGGGCTGTTTGCGGATGGATCTACCTCTGCGGATAAAAGTACGTGGGGTGCGTGGTTTGTGATGAATAGCCGGGATACGTATTTTGGGGGTCCGACGCATTCGGATTTGACGGTGGATGGAATCGTGTATAATTATATTGTGTCGAATCATCATGGAGCGCAGACGCCGAATATTACGGATGGGTTTGATCGGACTTTTGGGCCGGGGTTTTATTATTTTAATCGGGGATTGCCTGGGACTTCGTTGGAGGAGTCGAGGAGAGATGCTGAGAGATTTGTTGTTGTTGAGGATGAGGGGGCGTTTGCGAAGGAGTTTTATGAAAGTGTGGCGGAATTTGTTACGGGGTATATCCCGCATTCGAAGAGAGGTTCGTGGAGTGGAATTGTCAAGTTACCCATGGGAGCGGAGAAGCCGATTGCGATTTTATCCGTCAGTGGGATGGATTATCAGGATAACGCGCAAGACGTTCACGCCTTTCAATACTGGGCGGATATCGACCCCCTCACAGGAGAAGTCGCAGTAGATGGAGTCGTAGCAGGAACCTACCGTTTAACGATTTACGCCAGAGGAATTTTCGGCTTCTACGCACAAGACGACATTCTCATCAACTCTGGATCCCACACTTTCACCTCCGTCACATGGGAGCAAGAATCCGCCGCCGCCGCCGCAACAGGAGAAGCAGGAGAATCAGAAGAACTCTGGCGCATCGGCATCCCCGACCAATCCTCGGGAGAATTCCTCCACGGCTACGCTCGCGATCCCACACATCCTCTCCATCCCGCCGAACACCGCATCTACTGGGCCGTCTACGATTTTCTCCAAGATTTCCCTCACGGCGTCAATTTCACCATTGGCACGTCCGACTTTTCGCAGGATTTCAATTATGTGCACTGGAGCGTGTTTGGCGGTCGAGGAAATTCTCTGCGTCCGGAACCGGTGTGGGGGGATGGGAATGTGAATAATTGGACGCTGGGGTTTGATTTGGGTGATGCTGGTGCTGTGGAGGCGAAATGTCGGAATCGCACTCTGGGGGTTTTTACGGTGCAGTTGGCGGCCGCGAAGACTGCGGCGGGGAATACGGATGTGTTTAATGAGACGCAGAAGTATTCGGATTTGCCGTTTGTCGTTGGGGTGAATGGGGTGGATTTGGAGCCTTGGATTATACCGTATGTTTTTTTCTTTTTCTTTTTTTTTCCTTTTTTCCTTTTTTCTTTTTTTCTTTTTCTTTTTTCTTCCCCTTTTCTGGTTCTCAATCTTGCTAACACATTGCTCGCCCGCTCGCTCTTCTAGATACTACCACAGCAGTTCCTGCGCCGTACGATCTGCCGTGATTTGCTATAATCTCGCACACAAGTTTGTTTTCGATATTGGATTGTTGAAACAGGGACGTAATGAGATTGTTCTGAGTTTGCCCTTTAACGCGACAGACTACGAGTCTGCTCTACTTGCAGAATCTGTCTATGTACAGTATGATGCGCTTCGTCTGGAAGTGAGGTAGCAATAAGAATATCTTTTTCTTTTCCTTCTCCTTCTTCTTCTTTCTCCCGCTCCATAGTAGTAAAAGTTGTTGAGACGAAAATGTCGAAGTCGTTACGTACTTGGTACTGAGCTAGTATATAGGTATAGGTTCATCAATTGTATACTTACTCTGCTACGAGCTCTGAGCTACAGTATGTGTAGGGGTCGCTAGGAGGAATCTATACACATTTAATTGGCAGCCGATAATAGGGGCAGCAGGTTCTGTGCTCAATACTGAGGTACATATTATATACCTATCTTCTCAATGCTGTTCGAGCTTGTTACTCCATTGTTCGTTATTCAATTCTCGATGTTCTTTGGACTTATTCGTCTGTTGCTCGACATTGAATTCTCGATATTGTTCAAAGTTGTTGAAGTGGATTGTCACTGTCTGCGTGCCATTTAATAATAGAGGTCTGCAGAGAACTTCATGTTCTTGTCCGAGCGTGGCTCTGTATGCGTTTGATCGGCCCGAGACACCTTTTCTGGGCGGTAACGCAAGAGTGCCACAGCGAAGGGTGTGCAACTGTCTACAAGCTTCCAGAAGTATTTGTATTTCTCCGGTTGTGCTTTGAGCACTTCTAGGTTCTCGGCCGCAACTGCGAGCAGAGGCCTGCGAAATTGATCATAACCATCCTCGCAAAACGCCTCCGAGATAGCATCGGCGACATCTTGATCGCAGTCGATGACAGGGCGAGTAAAGTAGTGCCTCTTGTAACAGGACCTACGAAAGGCCTGCGTTGCCGCCATCTCCAAACGTGGCATGCTGTAGTAATCGGCAGCTTTGGCGACGCGCATACTCATGACCAATTCCGACATCCTGGAAAGAGTGGACGGGGTAGAGCTGTATTCGAAGGTGTACATATACCGAAAGATGGTGTCCAGCACGTCCGGATCATCATTGTCCAGCGCGACCTCGGCTTGAGAGCCTTCCTGTGCCCAGATTGTTAAGAGTGTACATGGAGATGGTTCGCCGTCATGCTTACCTTGAATGGTCCGCGAAGCATCTTTTTGAACACTTGGGAGTGGAGGCACAGGATGAGTTTGTGGACTTGCCATCGTCGTGCTCCGCAGGTGATGGTAAGGTCGCAATCTTCGCCTTGCTTGAACGACTCTTTCAAGCTGTCGATAAAACCCACGATGCCCTTGGTATCGAGGCTATACTGGCTAATTTCATCTGTGTAGGTACTCATGGCGGCGAATGTTCGTTGAAGACGACGAAGTTGATGTGGAGGCTGAGGTTGAGTTATCTTGGAGACAGCAAGTTTTGAGTAGATTCAACCTTAAGCTAGGTACCTAAGCTACCTCCCGAGTAAGACGAATCATCACTTCACTTTGCTTCACTTCACTTGGAACGCGCCTTGCGCTCACTCATTTCCAACTTCTTCACTTGTACGATTTGGAGGAAAAGGAGGAAAAAGAGGAAAAGAAATGTGCCGTCAAATATATTTTCTCCCGCCCCAATGATTTAAAGGCGGCAGAGGTAAGCCGACGGAATGGAGCATTCGTCTATCGTTCTTTTCCCCTCCATTGGACCATTGGTTGTGATCTATGCAGTGAATAAGAAGGAATCAGTTTATGTGAAGAAGAAAGAAAGAAAGAAAGAAAGAAAGAGGAAAAAGCAGAATGAGAAAGCGATTTCGTCTGTCGGCGCCTACCATCTTGGCAGCGGGAACGGCAGCGGGGCCAGCCGGTCCAGTGGGGGCAGATTTGGGCACCTATCACGAGAGCACTGCTGATATACAGACGAATCACAACGCTTCCATTTGCACACTTCACTTCTGACTTGTGACTCGATTCATTCCACTTGCTCCTAGGAAAGTGGCATCTGGGAAGAAAAAGCTTGGAATACCACAACAGACTCCTCCACCTCGCCCACTCGAACATCGACGAGAACGACATTCTCTGACCGCACATTCGAATACCCCGCCCCGCCCACTGAAAGAACGCGACCCCGCCATATACCATCGAAATGTCGTCGAGAGGATCCACGAGAGGCCGCGCTGGCAAATTTGGAAAGGCGAAGCGAGGAGGTGAGCAGCACGTCCATGGTGCATACCACGAACCTCACTAACACCACTCCAGGCGGACGCCACTTCAGCAAGAACCTTGCACCTCTCGATGCAGACGGGGCCGAGAGCTCCATGTGGGGAGAGTCGGTCAAGGAAGAAGACGACGACTCTTCAGACGAGGATGACTCTTCCGAGGAGTCGAGTGACGATGGTGGCCCCGCACAGCCACAGGCGGAAATGACCCGTGAGGAACGACGAGCTGCCGCAAAGGCAAAGAAAGAGGCTGCAATCAAGAAGAAGCAGGGTCCTGTCGAGGCTGGTGATCTTCCACCAAACAGTGATAGCGAGAGCGACGAAGACGATGATATGCCAGCGAACCCCAACCACAGCGCGAGCGCGCGTAAGCAGGCTGACAAGGTACCATTCAGCGCTGAGGACGCCGAGAAGCAGACTGCCAAGGCGAAGAAGACGGGCGACATCTCACAACTCAGCAGACGTGAGAGGGAGGCGTTGCAGGCTCAGCAAGCAAAGGAGAGGTATCAGAAATTGCATGCTGAAGGCAAGACGGAGGAGGCACGTGCTGATCTGGAGCGACTGAAGTTAGTTCGTGAGCAGAGAGCGGAAGCTGCCGCAAGGAAAGAGGCCGAGAAACAAGAGCGTGACTTGATTGATGCAGAGAAGAAAGAGCAGCTGGCCAGATTGGAGCGTCAACAGGCGCTGAAGGCGGGGCGAGGCGGACGTGGAGGCAAAAAGGGTGGAAAAGCGTGAGGTTGGCTCCGAGATGGTCTTAAAGGGTGGGCTATGATGAGCGCTTTTGCATACCACGGCGTCTGCATGATGATGATGACGATGACGATAGACGTATGGCATACTGAGGTATCTGTAGCCAACGGCTTACAAACTGGAAAACAAAACACTGCATGTTGCGATCTCAAACTCCCTTTTCGATTCTTCCCCCTAGGAGGTATAGCAATATGCGAACAGCCTCCCCAAGGCCCTCGCAGCTCTCCTCTCTCACTTGCACATGGAGTAGGTTCAAAGAAACAGTCCAAGCAATGCCACGAAGAGCGTATCAATGTTTCTCTTTTGTCTTCTTCCGCAAGGCGAACCCCATCCTTATTTGTGATACCTAAGGTAGGTATGCATGAACAATCCGGCGGTCCAAGGACATATGCACTCCATCATATCCATACCTTACCCTTACATGTACCTTTTACCTTGGCTTTTAAGTACCAACCAGCCAGCCAGCCAGCCAGCCAGCCAGCCAGCCAGCCAGCCAGCCAGCCAGCCAGCCAGCCAGCCTAAACGAACACACACACGTGTATTAGTCAAAGTGTTTTAGATATATATATATATATATATATATATATATCGCCAGACCTTTCTTACTTCCATAGTATTTGCACTTACTTCCCTCCTGTGGACTGGCTGGTTGGTTGGCTGGCTGGCTGGCTTCTCTATCTCTCTCTATATCATGTCGCGAGGTCTATTTGCTCTGCCATTCAATCGTCAGACTCGTCGAGTGACTGCTGCCACTGTACACTTTGACTTGTGTACTCCCACTGGCTACCGAGTCGGACGAAAAGGTGCTGGAGCCGCTAGCCTGCAGAGAATCGCCATCGGCGGTGAAAACGGTGCTGGAAACACCGGATCCACAGCTGAGAGCTCCTGATACGATACCGCAGTTGCCCTTGGATGAGTGAAGAGTGAATCCACTGCCGGATGCTGCTGCTGTGAAAGTGGCACACGTCCCCGAAGTGTACCACGTACCAGCGGAAATGATACAGCCCTTTTGACTGCCACTGGTCACCACGTTGAGGTAGCCAGATCCGGAGAAGGCTTCGCCAGGTGATGAGGTAGATGTGGGCTGGGAGCCACCGGAGGTGGTCGAGGTTGGCGAGCTTCCGCCACTCTTGAGCTTGTACTTGATGCCGGTGCTTGGACAATTGGATTTCGTCAACGAGTCCGCTGGGACGAATTCGCCGCTCTGCACAGAGCCGCGAACGTTGTAAAAGTACCAGGCCTCGTCCATTGCTCCAGAAGCACAGCCGATATATGGAGTCTTGCCGCCAAAGTTCTTGGCTAGGGCCTGCTGGATTTGTGACAGTGTGTAGGTTGCTGTCGAGGACGGAGTGATACCAGCGTCCGAGAGCCATTCATAGGTTGGCAGAGCCTGGAAGAGATCGACAACCTTTTGAAAGAAATCAGGGACTTCTTCGGTAGGCTGGTAGTTGGTATAACAGTCTGGTTCTAACGTGGAGATGCAGGTGCCATGCTTGCCCCATTCTATCATAACCCGATTAGTAGTGTTCAGTCTGCAGGTAGTCGGAATCTATGTCACTAACCGTGCTCCCAGAAGGTCTCGGCAGACCCGGAGTTGCTTTGCCAATATGTGCTCATGTAGTCTACAAGATCTTGCTTGCCGGCTGCGTTCAAGATCTGGGTAATGTTCGTGTAGGCACGCTTGTCGTCACAGCTAGCTTCGTATGTGCCATCGCAGTTGTCAGGCCACAGTCCATGGATTGTCCAGGAGTCAGAAGGGCCCACGACCGGGTTTGTGTCCCAGAACTGCGTCTGCAGAAGGGCACCTCCAGGAGCGTTGAAGCAGCACAGGTTCGGCTGAGCGGTGGTGTTCTGACAAGACAGCTGTGGACTGTTGCAAGTGGCGGAAGCTCCCAAAGAGTACCTTCTGTCGACTGGACTCTGCATGAATCCCAGCACGTGTTGAGCAGCAGCAAGCCCGGAGAGGGCCACCCGTGAGGCAGTCCGAATGGAAGGCATGTTGTCGGTGATGTTCAGGTGGTCTCGCAGACGATACGCCTGGGAGACGACTCCGTTTTGTACTCTCGCCGACCACGCCATTGTATCACAACAACCTTCCTGATCCGTCCTCTGCTCCGTGGCAGAGCTAGCTTCCCTCGGTCGATCTATGCACACGGGCAGGGCAGGGCAGTACAGTATACAGTAGTAGTAGTAGTAGCGGAATACTCGCGTTGTATAGGGGAGCCAGTCCGGTACCTGTATTCCCTATTCAAGCAGTGGCCATCATGTCGATCGGTGGTGCTGGTCAACCTGAGGCAGGTCGTCATCCAGTCATCTGATATAGACACGGCATGCTCATCCCGACGAGCGCGTGTTCCGCCCCTTGTTTGGTTGTCGAGCAAACGCGTGCACCAACGATTGGCCTGGCTGCTGTGGCTGGTTGCTCCACACAAGACGACAACGTCGATAAGACGGTTGATCTCCCGCTTCGGATCGTCCCTGCGCCGGCACTTCGTTCATTGGCGGGGTTTTCAAAAAGGCTTATTGCCTGATAAGTTATTATGCGGCCTTGGGGGTCCACTGTGCTAAGACACACCTTCATTAATCCACAACAATACGCTGGGCTGGTCCTAGCGTGAAGTGCCTGTGTCGTTGGCTGTGTTGCTGTCGCCGAGGCCCAGTCATCCATGTGATGCTCCTCAGAGTCCTCACAACATGTTGCTCTCCATCGCAAAGCGGCAGGTGACGCACACTCTGCCACGCGCGAGGCAGACGCTGGCAGCAATTCACAGCGCAGCGACCGAACGGCCTCTCAAGATATCGACCATTCCGGCGCCTCACACGGGTGAGATCACCGTCGTGTCGTTGAATCGGCCCAAGGCCCGCAACGCCATCTCGCGTCAGCTGCTCGCGGAGCTGAAGGGAGTAGTCGATCAGGTGCACAGTCAGGGCGAGAACGGAAGCACGAGAGCATTAATCCTCACCTCGGAGAGTGACGATGCTTTTTGTGCTGGCGCAGACTTGAAGGAGCGCCTGACCTTCACCGAGGATGAGTATGCCGTGCCTTTGGAGCCCACCCCAGCCCACCACTGCTGACTGACTGGCTGGCTGAGTGACTGGTTGACTGACTGACCATAAAACATCTAGCACCCGAGATTTCCTGAAAACCCTGCGGGCCACCTTCACTCGCCTTTCCACTCTTCCCGTACCCACTATTTCCGCCATCAGCAGCACCGCGTTCGGCGGCGGCCTCGAGCTGGCACTCTGCACCAACTTCCGCGTCGTTGCTTCGACCGCATCGGTAGGCCTGCCAGAAACCCGACTGGCCATCATTCCTGGCGCCGGTGGCACTTACCGCTTGCCTGCACTTATTGGACAGAGTCGAGCACGAGATCTCATCCTGACAGGTCGACGTGTTTCGGGAGAAGAGGCGTACTTTATCGGCCTCGCAGACAGAATTGTACAAATCACGGAAGATGAACTCAAGGGCGGGACAGGAGTGGCTAGGGGGAAAGTCTTTGAACAGGCTGTCGAAATGGCAAGAGTCATCTGCGAAGGCGGTCCCATTGCCATTAAAGCCGCGATGCAGGCTATCAATGGGTGGGAGAGGGGTGAGGCGAGTGAAAACGCGGCCTATGATCTTGTTCTGCCAACAACAGACAGGACGGAGGCGCTGAAAGCATTTGGGGAGAAGCGGAAACCCACTTTCCAAGGAAGGTAGAGGAGAGGATACACGACGTACAATGACTGACCCCGTTCTCATCGACCTAAGTCACCACCTGACCTCTGACTGGAGCACCAATGTCAGACGTGGACGAATGAGAAGCGACAAAAGATGATTGCGCGCAACTGCAAGATGACTGACATGACAGTGTCTCCAGGGCTCAAACCCTGCCACCAGTGCCTGCTCTGTTGCAGTGTTGCTCAACATTTCATGTCAGAATATAAGACATAGTCCACCACCAGCGGGGTATACCCTCGAACATGGGGTCCCCACGCAACTTGCGCTCAATAAAGTTAGGCTACATACACAGCAGCTCTAACTAAGGTACCAAAGGTAGGTATGTATCCGTCTGAATGAATTATCATTGGAGCAAGCGATCGCGTACTGCATACCATGAGCTTTCAACGCATTCGAACTTTCGAAGAGCCCTCGACGTGCTAAGAGTGCCGAAGGGAAGGCAAGTCGCCGGGATTTCCGGTGAGCTTCATGGGACAAGATAAGCGTACAGAAGGCTATCGTACTACCAGATATTCCTTTCCAGCACACAGCTACCCTGACATTGATGAGTTGAAAGCTTGCAAAATGCATTCGGACAAAGACAGCTCCCAAGCCATGGGGTTTGCTAGTTACCAACTACCGAAGCTTGTCATACTTTGAAGATTAAATACGCTGTCCCTGTCGTAGATGGGAATGCTCAAGCTTTCGAGTGGTCCCTTGAGATATTAAGTTGCACATGGGTATTCCCCCTAAACCTCACCATGTGGCATGCGCAGCCCACGAGAGATAACGAAACGTGCGGCTAAGTTTATAGAGGAGAGAGAGTTTTGCCAAATTGCGAAAACTACATCTTGCCTATCTACCCTACCTACCTAGCTGTTGCTTTCTCTTGTGTCTTTTGTCTTTTTCTTTGTTCTCATCACCACTTTACATACATATATATCATCATCACTTACCTGTCTGTCTGTGGGTGGATGTGTATGTGTGTGTGTGTGTGTGTGTATGTGAACAAACACCGCACCCCGACCAAACGACAACATGGCGACAACAACTGCATCGTCCAGCGACAAAGAAGTCTACCACAATGTGCAAGAGAAGGATGTCCAAATCGTCAATCGATCCGGTTCCGAAGGCGATGCTAGCGTTGAGGCGGGTGAAGTGAATAACCCTCTTCATCGAAAACTGGAGAGTCGCCATATGCAGATGATTGCGATCGGTATGTTTGTTCTCTCGTGCTTGTCTCTTAATTTTTTTTGCCCCTCTGTTCTTCTGCGGGGCGTGGGTGGCTTGGTGCGAGGATGTGTAAGAGGAGAGAGAGGGAGGGAGAGAGATATCTTGCTGCTGGCTCTATCTACTTACACCTCCTTTTCTTTTCTTTCCAGGTGGTGCCATTGGAGCTGGTCTCTTCGTCGGATCAGGTTCTGCTTTGCAAAAGGGTGGGCCTGCGGCGTTGGTCATGGGATTCATGGTAAGTACATTGTAACACCATCATTCTCATTATCAAGAAAGTCCCTCAGCTGCACGTTGAGCATACATCTAAAACACTTTTTCCCCAGATCATCGGTGTTCAACTCTTCCTCACCATGCAAGCCCTTGCCGAACTCGGAGTCCTGTTTCCCGTCAATGGAGCCTTCTTCACCTACGCTTGTCGCTTCGTGGACCCATCTTGGGGCTTTGCGATTGGTTGGGACTATGCTATTGGCTGGTTGGCTATTCTACCATTCGAAATCACGGCAGCCAGTCTCACGATTGCGTTCTGGCCCAGCGCTGCTGATATCAATATTGGAGTCTGGATTGCCGTCTTCCTCGTGGTATTGACCGCGGTGCAATTCTTCGGCGTGAGAGGCTATGGTGAGGTCGAGTTTGTGCTGAGTATGGTGAAGATTCTGGCGTGTACGGGATTCATTATCCTGGGTATTATCATCAATTGTGGTGGCGTACCGACTGACAACAGAGGATATATTGGCGGGAAGTATTGGCAGGATCCGGGTGCGTTCAGGCACGGATTTAAAGGGTTCTGCTCTGTGTTCGTCACAGCCTCCTTCGCTTTCGGAGGCACTGAGCTCAGTGGGCTCGCTGCCGCTGAGGCTAAGAATCCTTTGAAGTCGATCCCCCAGGTAAGTGATATGTCTTGGCAAATATGTCTTGGCAAAGTTGGGCGCGATTGGAAGTCGTACTGAGCCGGTTCGTCTAGGCAACTCGACAAGTCTTCTGGCGTATCGCGTAAGTACCAGTGAGCAGTCTCGCAAGGACGACCAGAGCACTAACTCCAAGCAGCTTCTTTTACGTCGTCAACCTCTTCGTTCTGGGCCTGATCGTCCCCTCTGACTCCGACGTCCTCCTCAACTCCCACGGCGCGAACACCAAAGCCTCGCCCTTCGTCTACGCCATGGTCCTCGCAGGGATCAAAGGTCTTCCTTCCGTCTTCAACGTGGTCATCTGCCTGTCGGTTCTGTCGGTCGCAAATAGCGCCACATTTGGCAGCACACGAACCCTGCAAGCTCTGGCAGCACAGGGCATGGCACCCAAATTCCTCGTATACATCGATAAGCACGGCCGACCGATCTGGTCTATCATCATCCAAATCGCGTTTGGTTTCCTAGCCTTCGCCAACGAAGCGACTGATGGCGGATCACAATTCTTCAACTGGCTTCTCGCACTCGGAGGCTTGGCAAACTTTTTCATCTGGGGCACCATTTGCCTATCTCACGTCCGTTTCCGAGCCGGCTGGCTCGCTCAAGGCCACACTATCGACCAATTGCCCTTCCAAGCTTGTTTTGGCGTTTGGGGATCATATGTGGGAATCTTCATGAATGTCTTGTGCATGGTAGCGACCTTCTACACTGCACTCTTCCCCATTGGAGGTTCGCCGAACGCGATGGACTTCTTCGAGACGTATCTCGCGGCACCCTTCATCTTCGCACTCTATCTTGGCTGGAGATTCTACAAGCATCGAGGCTCGAAGTGGTATATCAGTGCACAAGATATGGATGTGACCAGTGGGATGCGTATGGATATTGAGGAGCTGAGAGAGATTGCAGCAAAGGCTCAGAGTGCCAATGCAGGGATCGCGTCTTGGCCGAAGCGCTTTGTGCGAGGTCTGATCTGATGGAATGTAAGAGCGGGTACGAGTTGTGATGGCGATTTCTGTTCATGGAGGAAGAAGTTCATGTTCGTCCATCTCCTCTCGAGGTTGTTGAAGCTATCAAGTGCGCATACCATTAACGAATATTCAACGGCATATTGTTGGCTTGGCGGTTATAAGAAGTCCAGTACATTGATGTACCTACAAGCAGCGTGATCATGCATGTATGGTATCTCCTACATTTATGTAGGAACGTAAGTAGGAAACACATATATTGAATTAGGTTCGCGCAATGCACGGAAGATCTCCCGAAGCAGCCGACGCGCCAAGCAAACAGGTCTTCTAACAACATGGTCTTCTTTCCGCTTCTTCTTCCGCTTCCTATTTCCACCTTTCTCCCACAAAGGCCACCGCCTCGCCCCCTCCGCCCTCCTTCTGCTGTTGTTGCTATCAGCTGCCTGGATCTGCTGCCAACCCGCACTATCTTCCCTGATATTATCTGAGTGGATTTCACTATCTCTCTCAGCCAAAAGCCGACCAGCCCTGCTGCCAATCAGACCTCCAAAAAGCACGACAAAGAGCCTGCCAAACCTGCCATAGCCACCGCCCACGAGCACTGCAACAACTTCGCCTGACATCCCTCCGCCGATCACGAAATTAAAATGGCTGCGCCGACTCAGCTTGCCTGTGAGTGGTGTTCAGTCTTACCATAAATACCTCTGCAAAAGCTGGTGCGCTCTGAGGCGCGCCCGGATACCACCAATGGACATCCTTGGAGAGATGCTGATATGTGCCTATAACAGTCCGTACGTCCAAAACGGTGGGCGTGTTCGACGCCACGCCCGTCTACGAGAACCTGCCTGGCTTCGAGCGCCCCGAAGGCAACCTACGCTGTTGTGTCTACTCTCCGGATGGACGCTTCTTCGCATGGGCTTCACCAGAGTCTGTAACAGTCATCGACTCGTCCGTGGGCCACGTAGTCACGACGCTTCCTGCCGAAAACGTGTACGAGCTCGGTTTTTCGCCCCTGGGTACTTTCATCATCACTTGGCAACGACCATCGAAGGATGAGGAGGGTAACGCGACCAAGAATCTCAAGGTTTGGCGCACAATCGATGACAATGCAGGCGAGGACGGCGAGCGCGCAGTCGTTGGAAAATTTGTGCAGAAGAGTCAAACGGGCTGGAACCTGCAATACAGCCCCGATGAGCAGTTTTGCGCGCGATGCGTCACCAACGAGGTGCAATTCTACGAAAGCAAGGACCTGGGTACCGTCTGGCAGAAGCTTCGCATCGAGGGCGTTAGCGACTTTGCGCTCACCCAGGGCAAGACACATTCAGTTGCTGTTTTCATCCCGGAGCGCAAAGGCCAGCCCGCTGCTGTGAAGGTATTCAAGGTGCCAGAATTTGGATCCCCTGTCTCCCAGAAAACTTTTTTCAAGGGCGACAAGGTTCAGCTCAAGTGGAACCAAGAAGGCTCCAGCTTGATTGTGCTCGCCCAGACCGAGGTGGACAAGAGCAATAAGAGCTATTATGGAGAGACCAACATGTACATTCTCAGCGCCAATGGAGGGTTCGACTCGCGCATTACCCTGGACAAAGAAGGCCCTATCCACGATGTGACTTGGTCGCCCAACTCGAAAGAATTCGGTGTTGTGTACGGCTACATGCCTGCGAAGACGACCATCTTCAACCAGCGTGCCATTGCACAGCATAGCTTCAACCTTGGACCGAGAAACACCATCATCTTCTCTCCGCACGGTCGATTTGTTCTCGTAGCCGGCTTTGGAAATCTGGCAGGTCAGATGGACATCTATGATTTGGAGAAGAATTACGAGAAGGTTTGCACTATCGAAGGTAGTAATACTTCAGTCTGCGAGTGGAGTCCTGATGGCAAACACATCCTTACTGCTACCACGAGCCCTCGCCTCCGTGTGGACAACGGCATCCGTATCTGGCATGTGACTGGTGGACTCATGTACAACGAGGAGCACCACGAGCTGTATCACGTTATCTGGCGGCCGGCGACTCTCCCGCTAGAGAATCCTCTCCAAGCCGGTCCGCCTCACGCCTCGGCACTCGAGTTTCTTGGTAAGATGAAGACTCCTTCGAAGCCGGCTGGTGCGTATCGGCCTCCCGGGGCCCGTGGAACAGCGACACCACTGTCTTTCAAGCGTGAGGATGAAGGAGGTGCTGCTTTTGTCAGGGAGATGATGTCAGGAAAAGAGCAGCCAGCTGCGTTTGGCCCTCGTGCGCCTCGTGTGCGCAATGTGCCTGGCGCTGAGCCCGTGGATCCGAAGCAGTTGCCGCCTGGCGCTGCCCCTGGTGGAGGAGTGGCTTTGGCGCAAGATGGCGACGAGAACTTGAGCAAGGCAGCGCTCAAGAACAAGAAGAAGCGTGAGGCTAAGAAGGCCAAGGACGCTGAAGCGAAGGCTAACGGACTCGCTCCTGCTCAAAACGGCGATGTTAATGGCAACTCGGTCGAGGGCGAGCAGCGCGCGCGTAGTCGTTCGAACGCCGGGAATGCTAAGGGCTCCCGGCCGCAGTCTCGTCGACGCGACGGTGCCGCACCTGGACGCGTTCCGGCAGCGCCCATGTCCATGGATACCACACCTCCCAAGCAAACGAATGGCACTCCCACTCAGACCGTCAAGCCTCCGGAGGTGGAAGTGACGTCGCCTGGCATCGGCGGTCCCAACGAGAAGAAGATTCGCTCCCTGCTGAAGAAGCTGCGCGCTATTGACGACCTGAAGATGAGGCAGGCGGGTGGTGAGAAGCTCGAGGGTACTCAGGTGCTCAAGATCGGCACAGAAGAGCAGGTGAGAAAGGAACTCGCTGCGGTTGGGTATCATGGTGATTAGACGTGCTCTCCTCTCACTGGAGGTGGGTGACACTATGTATGTCCACGTAGCAGCAACGCAACCCGCAAGATCGCAGTCGATCGCGGAAGACAAAAGCTGGGCAGAAAATGCCTGTATAAACCAGTTTCAGACCAAAAAAGGGGGGCATCCCCTCTCATATCACACTCGTGGCAGTGTCCTCGCTTTAATGAAGATGGAGGCATGTACCGTTATGTACCGTGCAGCGAAAGCGTCAGTCCGGTGGACAGGTGCATATGGGGACACCTGATCGTTGCCCGACGATATACATGTAAGGTATGTAGGTAAGGAGGTAGATTCCGACCTCCATGTCGAAAGAAGAGACTGGACTTGGCGAACCACCCTCCCTCTTTGTAACATTTCTGATGCTCCCACGATACTTCTATTTATCACCACACAATCTTTGCCTTTCATATGTCCTCTGTGTGAATTAAGACTGTAAAACTCTTTTCTTACAGGTTACCTTACTGTCTCTGCTTTCTTCCAAACAGTCCTCTGAGGGGACTTTTCCCTGCAGGAGTTGGTGTTTCCCTGGTAGCATCAGCGCCATCCTAAAACACTGCGCCACCGATGATGAAAACCCTTTCCTCTTCTCTTCGTATCCACTGTACAACCCTGTTCGCTCCTTGCACCAACGCTGCTCTCGACGTCTGCGGCCCCGCAACACAGTACAGCTCAAATAAAGGCGTCTCCCACGCCAGTGACGTCGAGTCCGCAGCAATGCTATGCTGGACTTTCAGCCGTGCGGTACGAGAGTGAATGGACTCCTGCAGATGTGCATACAATGTCAATAGCCTTCGTCGACCCATGACGCCACTGAAATGTGGTTGAAACGAGGGCATGACAAACTGCACATTGCCTCGACTTTTGTACAGAAAATGGCGAAGGGATGTTCCCGGTACGATTTCCGAGCATGTTGCATGACCTTTGCGAGTGGCTGTCTTGATGTTGCTCATGCTTCCACTGCTTTCGAGCTGCGCGACCAGGTCGTCTCGCATCTTTCGTAACTCAAAAAATGCTTCTTTGTTGGCGCTGATGAGCACAATCGCCAGTTCATCATCATTTTCCGAGCCTGCCGACCTTTCCTCGACGGCTTCAGCTCTGTTTTCGGAAGCAGTGAAAAAGCTGACATACATGTATAGAAATCCAGTATTATTAAAACCGGGCAAACATAACGGTATCCAGTTTTCGCCACCATTCGCTTTGACACTGCCTGCCTCAAAGAGCATGTTGAAGATGAGGTGAAGGTCGCCTGGGTGCAGAGAGTGTTTCTTCGGTCGTACCACACTGACGAGGCGACCTGCGGCTACGATGAGACCGTAGAGGAGATTGGGTGAGCGAGCCTTGAGCAAGATGTCGTTGATAGCTCTCCGATGCGTCTTGCGCAGTCGGAGACACTCGAGTGCGGACAGGAGCGTCGAGGGTGAGCCCCGCGTAAAGCCATCTGCGAGACCATCCAGCAAAACGTCAGTACCTTGTAATGGTCGGCGAAGATCTGTAGAGGGGCGATTGGAAAACATGCGCTCCATGCTCGGTAGCGTGAGCGTAGAAAGGATTTGCATATAGAGCGATTCCAGTTGTGTGCGGAGTTGCGCTTCGCTCTCCGCGAGACGACTGATGGCGACCAGATTCAGCGGTCCCTTGGCAAGCATCACAAATCGTGTGTCACCGGCAGTGAAGGACTTGAGCGAATCTTGCTGGCCTTGGTAGAACGATATCAGGGTTTGTGCCACGCCCACATAGTGGCTGATCATCTGGTCATTGCCATGGCGGCTGTAGATAGGCTTTCCGGAGGCAGAGAGGATGAAAAAATGCTTCAATTTCGACTTCCAATTCGACAGCACATCTTCCTCAGTGGCGCCATCGACGGCAGTGAGCTGCACATCATCGAACTCGTGTCGAATCTGCTCCTCCAGAAGCGCGACCTCTGGGTTGAGCAGCTGAAAGGGGTTGTCCAGCTCGACCTGAGTACTGATGGCTTTCCCCGCAGGACCGCTCTCATCGGCGACGAAATCGCCAAGAATGCTCTCCTCGTCGAGGCGGGCGTCCAGAGACGGAATGTGACTTTTGATACTGGCTGAGTCATCTCCATCACTGTGACTGTTGTTGCTCACGAATCGACCAAAATGGGCGAGGCTCTGCTTACGCGAGATGGCTTTGCTGGCGGGAGACGACTGCACGCTGCTACTACTGCCGCCAGTTCGTGTCTGCGTATGCACATTCGTGGAAGACAAGGCCGTGGTGGGCGCGGACAGTAACTGCGGTCGCGATGACTGCCTGGACAATCGAAGCGAGCCCGAGCCGAGATGGGAGACGGATGGACGTGGTGGCAGCGGTGGCGGGGGCGTCAATTCCTGCGATATCGCCAGATCTGGTTCAACATCACGCGGGCTGGCATCCTTGTTGTCGCTGGCTTCCGAGTCATGATCCTGGAGGGCGGAGGGGGCGGAGGGGGCGGAGAGTGAGGGTGAGGGTGAGGGTGAGGAGGAGGAGGAGGATCTCTCCGGGGCGACGGTATCATCATCCTCAGGCATGCTTCATCATTTACTGCAGTGGGCTTCTCTCCGGTGCGGGATACTACATGTATGTGTACCTAAGGTATGGAGACTGTCGTAAGGTAGCCTGGAGAAGTGCTGGCGTGCCTACCTCTTGACAATGTACTTGCCTTGCCTCACTCGCTCGCTATTGCCCATGGCTCAGAGTAGACTTAGCCACCTCAGCCACTGTGGCGCTGGGCTGGGCCGGAATCCCCATCCTTCCACTTCCACTTCCACTTCCAGCTTCCCTCCCCTCGACCCTCCCGTCCTGGCATTGGCAACATTCTCGAAATCTCCACTTCGGCGATTTCGACTTCGTGGCTTGAAATAAACGGACAAACGGCGCGTGGGTGCCTCCCTCCTAACGCAACTTCACTTCCCCTCCTCCGCCCATGACCACGCCGTCAGATGACAGATGACAGATGTTAGCATCGTCTCATAGCAACCGACGATGAGCCTCGACATTCCGAGTGGCGGCCGTTCGATCTCACCATCGAGCTCCGGGCGCGCCTCTCCAGTCCCGCGAAACACGCGTCGAGCGGTGGAGGGCGGTATGTACGTGCTCTGGGTGTGATATTCGCCAGGTCAGAGCTGACGGTACAGACAGATCTCTTCAGGGCCGATAAGAGTCTACGCAGATATGGCGCCAACGTGGAACGGGCACTTGCGACTTGGGAGATCTCGCCAGAGGAGTGGGCTGACTACATTGCTTTTCTGGCACGACTGCTAAAGGCAATCCAGACTCATCCAAAAGATGTCGGCCTTCTGCCTCACAGTACCGCAGTCGCCGCCCGGCTTGCGCAGTGTCTCAATCCGGCCTTACCTTCAGGCGTGCACCAAAAAGCCTTGGAAGTGTACAACTACATCTTCTCAACCTTTGGAGGCGATTTCATTTCTGCTCACCTCCACGAGCTGCTGCCTGGGCTGGCGTCCGTACTTTCGTTCGCTTCATTATCAGTGCGACCTGGGTTGTACGACATTTTCGAGCAGCACGTGGTGGTATTGCCTCCCGACGAGCTGCGACCTGCATTGAAGTCGCTCATATTGGGATTGCTTCCAGCACTGGAGGAAGGTCAAGGTGAAGACTTTGAACGAGCTTTTGGCGTTCTAAGCGCGCTGGAACAGTCATTTGCATCACACCATGAAGACGCTTTCTCGAGCGACGACTCTGGCGGGTACTTCTGGCAGTGTCTGTTTCTGGGCGTCATTACCAGTCCTGCGCGACGGCAGGGCGCCCTGAACTACCTGCTCAGGGCGTTGCCCACCTTTCCTGGTTCCGTAAGCATAGTCGGAAGCGGTAGCAAGCCCGCATCCATGTCCAGAGAAGTGGAATGTATTGTGTCTCCAGAACCTGGCTTGCTCGTACGCTGTTTCGTATGCGGCTTGTCCGACTCGCAATTGTTGGTGCAAAGAGGCTTTCTGGATCTGCTCGTGACGAACCTTCCTCTCAACTCGCTTGTCCTACAAGAACGTGCTGGGAACGAGAACCTCGATCGATTAGTCACTGCCGTCTCACAAGTCAGTTTGCGAAAGGATATGTCGCTGAATAGACGGCTGTGGAGCTGGTTCCTTGGTCCCGAGCCCAAGGACATTGCAGACAACAGCCAGCTTTCGTCGCTGAATCTTGAACGCAACTTATCTAACGACGCGACTACCACGACTCAGCAAGATTACTTCCTCAAATATGGCCGAAAAAGCCTTGAACGTTGCTTGTTGGCAATGCTGCAAACACCGAATCAAGATGTTGCAACGCGAGCACGCGCGTATCGCGTCTGTTCCTCACTTATGGACCGCTGGGAAATTGGCGGCCATTTGGTAACACGAATCTTTCCTCCTGCCATGCGAGCTTTGCATGCTTATGGCTTGACGGCATCTGCTTCTCAGGTCGCAGATGTCGTGAAAAGTGCAAGCACCTTCTTCGATACTGTAGAAGCAAGCCTCATTTTCAGCACGTTTATCGATATCTTGCAGGACGCTCTTGATCGTGGCTGCAGTGCTGAGCTCAATCTAGAACTTGTGACGTGGGTGGTCGACACTTTCAACGTCAGGGATGAGGAGATGGTCGTGACCCATATCCCGACAATGCTTGTTTACCTGGCCAGCAACATGGTCTCGAGCGCGCAAAGTCCTGGAGTACAGTTACGAATCATGACACTCATGTCCCGGCTGCTCGATCTGATACCTGTGCGAACACTGCAACCGTCCAGGCAAGGAACCGTCGGTCGCTCCGACACACCAGATGCTGGCGACGTAGCCGATGAGCATATACGGCATACAGTCCTTGGATTTTACCAGCAGGCCGGAGCGGCTGACCACAAGCACCCACCATTCTCTGTCAACCACATTATATCCCTGACAGGCTCTAGGGTGGCATCGGTCGTTGGTAGCGCACTCGTAGTGGCCGATTCTCAAATATACGTGCCGAGTGTAGCATTGCTCCAAACTCTGCTCGACAAAGCGAGTAACATTGACGTGCTTAGATATTCCGATCTGTGCGAGAAACTGCAGAATGTGACCGAACAACGTGCTTGGACCGCACAAGATCTGTCATTCCCAATGATTAGTGCGACGGTGTCGCTTATAGCATCTTTGCATCCAGCCAAGCCGCAAAGTTGCCTTGACAGCGCAGTGCTCCAGGAGCTCGTGGCTGGCCTTGCTGCACAACTGTGGAACTACTTGTCGCCTGAGCATCCGAAGTACCACGTTGAAGCGGTACGGGCATTATGGCATCTTGAAGAGCTGATCGCGCCTGAAGACGCGCTCAGATCATCGCTGACCAAATTGACACGCGCACCCGCACCCGACGTTGGGCAAGCGGAGACATTCAGGCGCTTTACCGTGCTTTGGATACATTCTGTGCCACCTTCCGGCCAGGAAACCACTTCAAATCGACGGGCAAGCTCTATGTCAGTCCTGGCTGGCATGAGACACAGTGCAGACGCCAAAACAATCCTTGAACCGTCACTGATGCTGGCGCTCGACGCCTTAGACGACATTACTGAGCCTGCGTTCGAGGTAATCAAAAGCTGGCTACACAATTTAACTACCCTAGATCAGATCCTCCAGCTGCTCTTTGCCAGACTCAAGAGATGCTCTCTTGTTCAAAAAGATTCGACTCCTGGGATCTCCACTGCGCAGTACAAGCGTCAGCAAGCAGACCTTGTAAGAGATCTGGAACATGTTCTCCGTCATTTCCAGGGAATTCTTACCCATGGCACCCAATGGACCTGGCAATGCCTAAGCAAGACATCCATATCGACCCGGCCAGAGGACGAACACCATAACGCCCTCTCGTTCCTTGCCGTGACCTGCATAGAACTACTCTGCAACGAGCAGCACGACTCTCTCGCCGTGAACAGGCTGCTGTTGTCTATGCTCGATGCGATGTTGCTGGGCCCTGCTGCGATTGAGCTTCAGCCTTTGGATCTGGACGCAAGTCTACTTGACAAACTCATGATCTGCATCAACGGCGACATGCATACTCTCCAGGGTGGCTTACTCAAATTGATCAAGACAAGCCTGAAATTACGTCTGCACATCACTGCTGTGCCAACAGACGTGCACCCTCCTCCATTGTCAACCTCGACCAAGGAAAAGAGACCTTCTCCCGCACCTTCCCCGCGGCCTTGGGCCTCCACGAATGGAGCCGCTGCCAAGTCCGTAGTCAAGCATCATCCGCCGCAGCTCTTCGACTGTATTAGGACCGGGTTCTCAAGTCCGCGAGCAAGATATCATCTTGATCTCTGGCTCGATTTTTTGGCCGACATTCTACCAAATTTTGCCGACGCCATTTTCTCCAATCTGCTACCACTAGTTGGAACCTTTTGTCAGCAGCTTGATCAAACACACGATCAATTGGCCGCCATCTCGAGCACAAAAGATCTTACTACTGTAGTCATGCCAGAAGCTGTGATCTCCAATCTTCTAGGGGCCCTGGAGATGATTCTAGATCACGCATACCGATGTCTTCTTTCCGAGACAGCAGAAGATACGGCACCAAAAGACGTCGAGTCTCGTTCATACTTCTTCACTAACGTCGCTACTGGCGTATTCAAATCAGAAGGTCCTCCAAGCAGAACAGCAACTGCAAATAGTCGTCTGACAGTCATACTTGTTCTCCATGATGCGATACGCGTTGCTCTCAAAATGTGGTTGTGGGCAAGCGATACAAACAGCACAGCTCACGATCAGAGCAGCGCGAGTACGACGGCCTATAATGCTTTCAAGGTACGCAACAAAAGCCGCCACATCCTGGAGCAAATCTTCGCCGTAGAACCGCTCGAAAGTCTGGAGGTCATCATGCTCCACTGGTGTGATACGCAAACGGCCCACGAAGCCGCTTCGACGATGAGCCTTCTGCAGATAATGCAAGTCTCGAAGCCCAAGCGTGTGATCCCGGCGATCCTTGATGCGTTGTGTACTCGGACGAATCCAACCTCAATCCCGACGTCACGTCATTCGAGCCTCACCATCGACTTGAGCTCAGGAAATGTAGCTACCTTCCTCTCGGCGTATCTGGACTCGACTGAAGATGATGCCATGGACGAAGTGTGGCCAAACTGCATTTCTTTCCTTCGAGATGTGCTCTCGAACCCACTGCCGCATCGACAAGTCCTCTCGCATCTCCTGTCTATCATTCTTTTACTTGCAGAGAAGCTCAGCAACACCAACTTTGGCGAGCAGAGGAAAATGAGAAAAGATCTGGGCGACATTTTTCAGCGCCTCCTTACTGCCACATTTACAGCCCTGCCGTCAGGGAGTATTGCAGAGTATGCTGTCGATAACATGCAACACGGTGACAATGGATACAGGCAGGCAGAAACGGAACAGGCCATGGCTTTGTTGCCTGTGTTGAACCGCGTCACCGCCAAGATCGACTTGATCCTCGACACTCCGGAGAAGATAGCGGCAGCGATCAACAACATATCGCAGAGCCTGATAGCGCCAATTTTCAGGTCCCGTACTTTTCCCAAGAACGTGTCTGTAGATGTGTTGCAGTTGGTTGTGGAGATTTCGCGCAAGGGTCCTGCTATGAAAACCTGGAAGAAGGAGGTCACGGATGCCTTCAATGACCCCAGGTTGTTTGCTTGTTCACCCGAGCTCATGGCAGATGGCTGGTTCCCTGCGCTACACCAGTGGTCACTTGATGATAAAGAACGCATGCCCGATCTCCTCAGCCGCCTGGCTCCGCCTTCTAGTGCCGGGATCATGTTTGGTGTCGGTGCGAGTGCTGCACGTCTCGAAGCAGATCGCAAAACGCAGCTCAATCTTCGCCGTATGTGCCTGCTGTTCTTGGCTTCGCCCGAAGATACATATATGCCACACCTCAGAACAATCGAGGAGAAGCTCTCGGAGCTTTTCGAGGCAAGCCCGGCATCTTCGCCATCGGCCACGATCAAAGCTGAGCTCTTCATGCTTTGCCGTGTACTGGCACTCTCCGTGAGTGCGATGCATTTATCGCCGCTGTGGCCGATTATCAACGACAAACTTCAGGCGGTGCTCACGTCGCTGTTCCCGAGTCATTCGACGGCACGTGATTACAACAATCTTACATTGTTGCAAGCCTGCAAGCTGCTTGATTTGCTCATCACGTTGTCTCCAGACGAGTTTCAGCTGCACGAATGGTTGTACATCACGGACACGATAGATGCTGTCTACCAGCCTCTGGAGTGGAGCTCGGCGGCCCTATCCGACCAGATTGCTGAAGCACTGGGTTCGTCTAGCATGGAAGATAGCATGACGGCAACGAGTAGCCTTGCGACGTCGGCAGGCAAGCGTGTGCCACTTCTTGGTGCTGATTTGGGCGTCGACAAGGGTGATGTCAAGGCCATGGCGAGAGAGGACTTTACGCGAGCCGTTCTGCGCCCGTTTCTGAATCAGTTGAGCATTCATGCATATGAGGGCGTATATAGCATGGACGCACCCGACGTGGCGGCCTTGCGCCAGGACGTGCTGAACGACCTTCTCGATGTGAGCACTATGGTAGAGTAAGCTTAATGAAGTTGAAGTGCACTCGACAGATGCATGTCTCATTTCACTTTGAGCAACATATCAAATAATTCCTGGCACTTGCCGAGGCTTCAAAATGATGACTCCCTGGGCAGATGACAGGGAAAATGACGAGAAATGGGCCGGGATGGGCATGGAGGAGCACTTACATAGTTCCAGCCTTCCAGGTAGGTACATCAGCCGACTGTTGCATGCCAAGATCGTGAAGCTCATAGCAAAAACGTCCATGGATTTCACGAAATCATCATCATCATCGTCATCATCATGGTTCCAGAGACGAGACGCGTGAAGCAATATACAAATTTCTGCTCGGTTCTCACGTTTAGTCAAACAAAAATTGTACCAAATCATTGCTTGTCCTGTGCAATTTAATTGATCAGTGCGTACACTGATGATACTAGCCAGAGATTTCGATAGATATATCTTGAATGAAATGGGCTGTCGACTTGCAGCAAGATTTGTCTTTTCAACTATTTGACGATATAGTCTCTCTCGGGCTCTTCCTCTCTCTCCTTCACTCAAAGTGATTCCCAACTCTCTGGTACAATTATCGTTGCACACGGCAACACACTTTTTCTTTTTGGCTGATAGCTACCTACTCAGCATCACCACACGACAACAACAACCGCAACAACAATCATCACCCATACCACACGCGTAAGTCCTATGCCCATGCACCACTCACCACCCCTTCACAAGCCTCGTCACCGTCTCGTCTGATGAAGTAACGCGCACTTCCAAGACGACTCAAGACCACTCACCCACCCACACACGCGCGCGCGCCTTTCTCTCTCCCTCTCTCCCACCCCTTCTACACACCAACCTCCCCAACTCCTCCCCGAACCCGCTAACTCCCAACCCCCCCTCCTCTCTAGTCAATCCCTCCTCCATCCCCCAACGCAACCAAACCAAAAAAATCAAGCATGCCTCTCTCCACCAAACAAATGGAATACCTCGCTCTCGCCTGGCAACGCTTCGACGCCGAGCCCAAAATCGACTATGAGAAATTCAAAGATATCGCCGGTCTGGCCTCGGCGGCTTCGGCGCGTGAAATTATGCGTATGACGAAGAAGAAATTGAAGGAAGAATATGGTGCTTTGTCGGGTGGGTTGAAGATTGCGAATGGTGGTGGTGGCGGTACTGGTGGTGTTACGGATTCGCCGGTGAAGATGAAGAAGAAGATGGTTTGTGTGAGTTGATTTTTTTTTTCGTGTTGTTGTTCCTCTTCCCCGTCTCCTTCTTGATGATGATGATGAGAATTTTATCCTCGATTAAAATCTTCATTGCTCTTTCTTTTTCTCACAAATACAGACTCCAACAAGCGGAACCAAGCGTAGCCGTCCATCTACTCCAGCTTCAGCTTCAGCTTTAGCTTCAGCAACCAAGAAAACCAAAGCTCGCAAGACCAACGCTGGCGATTCTGACGAGGATGAGCATGAGCATGAGAACGACGATGAAGCTCTGACTCCGGTTGCGAAGCGGATCAAGACTCTTGTGAGCAGCAACAAGAAGAAGAATAAGGAGGCAGAAGAGGTTAAGCCAGAGCCGGTGGTGAGTGATGATGATGATGGCTTCTTGGTGTAAAAAGGAGAGAGATTTCCTTCCTCTTGAGTGAGTGAGTGAGTGAGCTTGGGGTTTGGGCAGGTTTTTCTCTCTCATGTGTGTCTTTGTGTCTGGGTCGCCGATGATGACTATGAGGATGATCATGAGGATACTGCAGCGGACGTTTTGGGGAAATGGAAGCGCGCAATGAGACGGCCAGGGGAAAGACAACGACGACGGCGATGTGGGAGATCGAAGCTACAATTCTCACAGTAAGTAGCAAAATGGAAAATCATGCATGTACACACACAAGACGTTCTTTTCTCATTGTGCACTCACATCTTCTTACAACACACCAGATAAGGTATCCATTTGCCCCGCCTGAGTCTTTGTACACAACAATCGTCCAAAGTTCAAATCGTTCTCGTCTTCCCGCCCCACGACCGCGAAATGCATATCATGACCCACTCCTAGCCAAGCCGTGTCAAATCGTGTCGGGCTTTGCAATTCGTCTGATCAACGCCAGCGCCGTTCCCAAACCTTAGCTCTGCGACATGGCCATTTCATGTAGTCCGCAAAGAAGACCTAACGCCACTTTGTCGGTATTGGGCATCATCAACGCACCCAGGATCGCATGCCCCTGCGGTATACCCTCCCACTTCGGTCCCGTCGGCAGTTCCTCGTAGTCTCCGCCATGTTCGCCATTCATGCCATTCGATCCACTGTCTTGAGAACCGTCCTTCGGGCCAAACACACGTTGGATGCTGCCTTTTCCACCCTTCTCTGCGAGCCGCTTCATCATTGTGAGGGCGCGATAGGTTATGAGCTTGAACGTTTCCGTATCCATGCCCAGCTCACGCCCCTTGGGTCCAGCCGTCTGGTTTCTATCGACAGACAGCAGAGCCGCGAGGTTGAGAAGCGCGACAGCCCAGCCATCCTCACTTTCGATCCAGGCACGTGCGAGGTTTGCATCGTTACTCGGTGCTAGTGTGGTGAGGATGTCAGCTGCCAACATGCCCTGCGTCAGATACGCCTTCCTAGCTTCGACAATTCGCAGTTGCGCTGTGTTGCCCACTGGCCCTTTCGATCGATCGGGCAATACCGATATTGATAACGCAAACGCCTTCGTCAGTAGGTCGATCGGGGGCTCTGCGGCTGCACTTGACCCAGCGAAGATGGTTTTATACAATGCTCGATTGGGGTCTTGCCTGGCAAGCAACTTGGCCAAGCAATCGACGGCGGGTGGCAAGTATTTATGTTGTATGGGAGAAAAGCTCGTAAACCTCAAGTTGCCGCCACTTTCGGTATATTTCGGCGCAGGCTGTGGCGCGAAAGCGAGCAGGAAGTGCAAGAGGTGCAGTGCATCATCTCGTGAGGGGATTTCCAGACTCTGCGTAATGTTGGAGAGGAAGATAATCGTGTCCTTGAAAAAGTCACCAGTATTGTAGTGGGTTCGCAAGAGCATATTTCGAGTCCCCAACAATCGAATGGTGTTACTCAGCCATTTTATGACAGGCGCAGATGTGAGCAAGACATGGTTAAACTCGTAGAACGAGAAGTTCCTGAGCGAGGTGCTGATGGCAATCAGCTTGTCCGCAGCCCGATCAAGGTCATAGGCACGCGAACCGAATTCAGGCACTTCCTGCAGTGTCTCTGCCTCCAGCTTGGCGCTTCGCAACACATCTTCATACGCTGGCAGGTCCAGGGCGTCTGACACTTCGACGGCATCTTCTGCGAGAGTATCGATCTGTTCTTCGGCGCAATCGATAATGACGTCCAGTAAGTCTTCGCATGAGTTGAGATTGAGAGCGACACGTTGATCGAAGGAGATGATGGCGAGGACATCGAGCGCATACCGCACCTCTGCGTGTATACCGGATGCTAGACTCAGCGTGATGGCCTTGGTGTCAATAACGCCCATTTCGTCCACGGCAGGCATGTTGGGCATCTTCGACGCGATGACAGTTCCAATATCGAACAGCGCAGGAATATCGTACCCTCCATCCGACGCTATTGACCTGATGTGGGGCTCGTAGTTGGTACTTTGGGGCTCTTCGCTCTTCATGACGGGGCCAGTCGATTCTCGTTTCACAGAAGGCGGCCTTTGCTTGGCCACAAGCGGAGACGCCGTTGCCGTGTCTGGTCGTACCCCAGGTTGAGGTGTCGTCTGCTCAGCCTTTCGCAAGCTGCTATTCCTGCGGTGATGCATACCAACAGCGCCTCCCATCATCTGCTGTGGCGTAGACATGCCATTCTGCGGTAATGATGCGTTCGCTTGCACCGGCGTAGTTTGCTGCGTTTGCTGATTCGGCTGATACTGTTGTTGGTACTGGTTCTGGTGGCCCGCGGGATGCATCATCTTGGTTGGAGATTGCTGCGGCTGTCCGTTGAACGCCATTTGCTGCGCATGCGTCCTCGCCTCGGTTTGCTTTTGCGACATCCTCGCCTGAAACCACATACGCTCATACGCTCCTATTGCTACCGAGTGCAAATTCTTCAGCTCTTCTGGCGCAGATGGAAATTGCGGCTGCGTGAAGCCCAGTTTAGTCGCGATCATCTGCCACTGGTTGTTCTTGTCAGCCTGTGGTGAGCCGCCCACGCTGGTCACGACTGTGAATAGGGTGTACAAGTCGACAGGTCGCCCACCTATCGTGGGCTGTGGGTTGAACGGGCGTCCTTGCTTTTGCGCGTATGCCTGGAGAGTCTGCATGAACTGCTGCCGCTTCGCAATCTGTTGTTGATGCGCTTGTATCATTTGAGGATTCATCTGGCCATTGGCCATCTGCGCGGCACCGCCCATTGCGCCCATTGTGCCCATTGTGCCCATAGCACCCATAGCACCCATGGCTGCCATTTGTCCAGGCTGACCAGGCTGTCCAGGCTGTCCACCGACACGTGGAGGCAACATGCCACTGGCGCGCAACTGCTGCTGATGCTGTAGAAGCTTCATCTGATACACCCGTTGTGCGCTGTTGGCCTGCATATTGCCCATATTGCCCATATTGGCCATCTGCTGCTGCAGGCTGCTCGGCATATTCATTCCGCCCATGTTCATGCTCCCCATCTGTGCCATTGGATTGACCTGGCCTTGTGGGGTGGCAGGGTTGCCATAGTTCGCCTGTTGCGGCTGGCCGGGAAAGGGCGATGGCGACGCGTTGTTCATGCGCGGTTGTGGCTGCTGCTGGGGCTGCTGCTGGGGAGGTCGAAACTGCTGGTTCTGCATCGTCGGCGAGGGCGTCGCGTTGTTGGATCCGGGCTGTTGCAGGTGTTGATATGGAGTGGGCGCATTAGGAAACGGTTGCTGACCGGGAAAAGCGCCGTACGAGGAGGGAGTCTGCGAGCGCGACACGTCGTCATGGGGCCGCTTGGCCGGTATCGTGGAGTTGGGAGCGAAGGTCGCGGAGGGCGGAGGATGGGGCGGCGCGTGCTGGCCATTCTGGGAGAAATCGAAGCCGTCGAGAGGGTTATTGTGGTTGGTGTTGTTGTTGTTATTGTTATTGCCGTAGCTATGGTGGCTGGCGCCGTGTTGAAACATGGTATTCTGCCCGTTCCATGCTGGGTTCATGATCGCCTGCAGGTGGCATTATGTGATCAGCATGCGGCCAGACATTTGAGGAGGGGGAGGGTAGGCAGGGTGAGGGAGTGGTGCGGTGCAGTGATGGAACGAATGGTAGGGCGTGAAGTGGAGTGCAGTGGCGAGAGTGGTCAATCTGCGCACAGAGAGTAGAGCAGATGGAGTGCGCGTGCGCGTGCAAGAGAGAGACTACGGCAGACAAGAGAAATCGGCGCGTACACAACAAAGTTGAGAGACGCGACAGCGCTGCGTCGTTTTACTGACCTATCCCGTCCAGGTTGGTTGCTCCGGTCCGATGATGGAGTGCTGGAGTTGGAGAACATTATGGGAAGGGCACACGTGCAGTCGTAATCGTACCGGAACCTCCCGTCGAAGGCACACCATGGCATGGCCATTCGCAGGTCAGGTAGGCGAGGCGAGCAGTGGACCACAACATCATGATGGCGGGCGACGACAGCGAGGAGCTACGTGTACAGCACCCACAGCCCACTCCTGTACATCATATAGAGGTGTCGACCGCTCACCAGACCGCAAATGAATGAATGGGAAGGGAAAAAGACACAAGACTCCATCACTTCGGGATCTCTGCACTAAAGCACTAAAAGCTCGGACGGTAAGGCTTGAGATTATGCGACACATCTGTGTCCCAGTCCCTTGTTGCCCTCCACTGCCCCCATGGGATAGATACTCAAACACGAACACACTCCGGGACCCACGGGAGCCTTGAACACGCCTCTTCTGACACCTTGAGGACGTACCTTTTATCACACGACGGGACTGCCGTCCCTGTTCGGATGCCGACCCTCTGCGTATAGACCATGCCTCCTTTTAAGCCTCTCCTCTACCGCCTATCACTGTAGCCCGCCTGATAGCATCCGATGCGAGAGGTACCACACTCGCTCATGGGGTACGCATGCAATCGCCTGTACCAGCAGTCGTCGTCTGCGAAAACCTTGCTTCTTTTTACCCTCTCGGTTGAAGTGGTGAACTGGACTTTTCGTGGCAATTGTAAAGCTTGCCCTCCTCCACTCGCTCTCACCTGACAAACCTGGGCCGAGAAGTAGGAGGTACATGTAGGAGGTACCTGGAGGTAGAACTACCAAAAGCTGCCTGAGGCATGACACCACACGCCTGGGTGTTCATGTCGAAGGCACAGTGTGATGAGCTCCTGTTGCTCTACCTAAGGTACCTATCCAGCCACCCCATCTCCTTCAACTCCAGAGTACCGAGGAGGCAGGTAAGATATCATCAGCACGAGGCCATTCACGCATTCGCCTTCCGACAGGTCTTCTTGCCGCATCTTGATGTGTGGCCATATCACCACGACTATTTGCTCTCGGTAATGGACCCGACCTCGACCTGGCTTAACTTGGAAATGATGACACTTATTGGAGACGTTAGTTGCCTCAGACCGAGCACAGAACATAATTCGTGACCCTTGCTTCCATCGACCTACCTCTTGAGCTCGGCTGATAATAGACGACGATACCAACACCGACTGTTCACGACACTGTCAGCCTGCACTAGTCCCAGCAGCCAGAGGCACGATCGCCCGCTTTCTCGCGCATCTTCTCGGCTTCGATCTACCAAACCATGGGTCTTTTCTCGAGCTCTCAAACACAAACCAAACCGCCACAGCCTGAGGCATCTAAAGATGGAGGTTTCATCGCCCCGGATCGAACGGCGAGAGCGCAATGCTGGGAAGGGAGAGATGCATTCTTTGCATGTCTAGAAAAGAACGGGATCATCGATAGTGTGAGAGAGGATAAAAAGGCGAGAGAGCAATGTGCACCCGAGCTGGCGCAATTCGAGAAGACATGCGCAAGTAGTTGGGTATGTCGGATACATGATCGAATTCGAGATCGTTCTCACGGAGGATGTGTGACCGTACAATGCTGACCAAGCGATACAGGTGACATATTTCAAGAAGAGAAGAGTGATGGAATATCAGCGAGACCTAACGATCAAGAAATTGAGTGCTCAGGGCGTGCAAGGGCAGCCTTGAGAACAGTGAGGAGACGCATATCCTTCAGCAGGCTGTACAGCATTCTATACACGCACATCTCCACTCTACGCATCGGCTGCATCGCAGGTCGCAAAGTGCAAAACATACTCGATCGACACAGCATACTCATGGCTTGTCCAACGCACAACGTTCGGACTCCATGCGGCAGACTGAGATCCGCCAACGTGCTTCGTAGAGCTGATGTGACTTCACGTTATCCGCCAACGGGAGGATGCCAAACGCTGAAGAACACGCCGACCATTGAAGTCTTGCGAATCGCCTGGTGAAGCTCCATGTGCAGAAGCGGACACGAGTTATACCACGAGGCGAATGCGAGGTGAGGTCTAGCTGGCAACTCCTGGAAGCGCTGGTCGCTAGTAACATGTTAGAGCACTTCGTGCGAGCGCGCCTCACAATTGTATCAATTTACGCTTCTGTATCATCAAATCATACAAAAGCAATGCCTCCATCTTGATCACACTGTCTTCTGTTTCTCTTCGCCTTCCGTCTTCACCATTAGCTTGTACCTACCTACTACATGCAGGTACCTTATGTATATATGGGTCACGCATAGATGCCTGGCGCAGGCTCGGTTGCTGCCTGAATTTGAAACTACAGTAGTGGAGGTCTCGAATGGACATGCACTTCTACCTACATGTACCTGACCTTCTACATGTACCTAGAAGTGAAGGTATGACTTCAACTTTGGCAGGCAACTGAGCTCACGAACAACTTATCCATTGTCACTCTTTGCAGAAAGGACTGTTCCTGCTGGATTCCAGGACCACTCTGCCGAGTCAAACCCATGACATCTAACAAGCGCAAACCTCGCCCTCGAAGACTCAGTGGCGGTTGACGGCTCCTGGAGCATGGAGGACAACGACATGACCGACGTACCTACAGCATTGTTAGGCCATCACGACTTGCTGGACCTGGAGGTCAATGACCCTTCCAACCATGACATGGCTTTCAAGCGCAGTCTGCAGACTCCAGCGTGTATGGCATGCAGGGAAAGGAAAATCAAATGCATTCCGGATGAGAGCGACTTAACTCAATGCAAATTCTGCGTGAGGGAGAAGATACGATGTGTAAATCGGGCGCTGCACGAAATACCACAGCCGGGCGCGAATGAGGAGCAGCGGCCAACCTCGCAATATCCTGACCCTAGTCATCTCGGAGTGCATGCCTTTACATCTGGTCCGTATGGTCCTGGAAATGGCGCAAGTCCCTTTGGATCTGCTGGCTTTAGCGGTCGTCAGTTGGGCCTGCCGGCATTAGAACAATGGCGCCAAGCCTCAGAAGATCATTTTCAAGGCGCGACACCGAATGTGCACACTCGGAATGGTGCATTCGCTGTCACAGAGGAATCTCAGAGTTTACAAGACAGGTTTTCCTTGATCGATGGAGGTGCAGGGCAAGCCGCGGCACGAAAGGCCGCTGCGCTGGCGCATCACGCCGCAAATACGCGAGCGCACGATGCGGTAGGATTCAGACCGGAAGACTACTCCTGGGCTGTAGACATTCCTGGTATTGACGACGGAGAAACCGAAGCAGAAGAGGAAATCCTGTTCGAGGATGTACCCTCACGAGGTGGATCTACAAGTGGTCGAGGCCGTGGTCGCGGCGGTAAGAAGAAGGGCTGGCGAGCGATTCTGAAAGGTACGGATCACGCCAACATTGGAAAGGTCCCGAAGAACACGATCAGCAAGCGCGGAAGACCAAGTGATCGTGCTAAGAACCAGGGCCGCAAGCGCAAGAAGGAGGTTGATCCAGGTCCCGAGTTCAAACGACTCATGGCCAAGGCGAACAATAGCTTCATGGAGCAGGATTACGAAACAGCATTGGATTTTGTTCGTCAAGCTGTCGCAGCCAATCCAGAGATATGGAGTGCACACTCTCTTCTGTCCCAGATTCTTGAGTCCCAGGGCCGCCACGCAGATGCAATTGAGGCTCTACGGTATGGTATACCCACCACTCACGAGGCCGACAATTGGCAGCACTTGGCAGACCTCATGACAGACAAGCCCGAGCACGAGCTTTCGGATGAGGTGATCGAAGAGGCAATATGGTATCTGGGTAGGGCCTTGAGTTACCGGAAGCCAGAAACTGCACAGTGGGATATACGGATCAGGAAGTTCCATCTCTACAACATGTTACAGAAGCGTGGCCAAAACAACAAGAATGCACGACTTGATGCCAAGAGTATACTGAGGATATGGCCCACAAAGACGCAGTTTCTGAAAGAGTTCGCAGTGCTTTGCGCAAGCTGGCCGGACAAGGGCGAGCAGGAGCTGGCAATTCAGCGTTACGACGAGGCTTTCGCGTACTATATGGCTAACTGCGACAAATTTGGTGATGAGGACGATCCGACTGAGGACTGGGAGCATCTGAATATCTACCTGGAAATGGTGGAGCTGGCCGGAAATCCGTCAACTGGGGTGCAGAAAGCGAAAAGAATTGCTCGCTGGTTTCTGGGCCGCCAAAAGGATGCGTTCTGGGATGGAGTCACCGACAATGACTGCGAGTGGGATATCGAAGATGACAGACGTCAGTCCGTACCGGAATGGATGTGGGCGATTGGTGGGCCCGTCAGTCGTGATCCTGCACAGTACGGTGCAGGCATGCCAATAGAGATTAAAGTGCGGCTGGGCAAGCTGCGACTGAAAATGGGACCTGAGTTTCGCGAAGAAGCTCTCAGGCACTTCAGTGAGCTATTGCAACTCGTCGATGCCGTCGACGACTACCGAGACACCTTCGAAGACGTAGCTCAGACCCTTCGCAAGGACGACTCACTCACAGAAGCATTGAAATACTTCGCACCCTTGCGCGACTGCGAGGAAGCCGATCATCCACTGACGGGCCTTTCTGACGATGTCTGGTTCTGGATGGGCGTGTGTTATCAATATACAGGCAAGATCCAGGACGCGATTTCTTGTTTCGACGTGATAGTCCAGAATCGTAGCAACAAACACAATCATCAACTGGAAGCTACGGCAAAGCTCGCGAAGCTCTGCGAAGATGCCGAGGAACTCGACAGGGCGAGGTTCCTCTGCAATGATCTAATCAAGATCAGTCGTCATGATCTGCTGATTGGCGAAGGGGTGAAGATGATACCTGATGAGGTGCGGATGAAACCTGTCATACTGCCTGAACCATATAAACAACTTCGCAAGTATGTGAACCCGCCTATCAAGCCACGTCTGGAGCCGAACATGCACTTTAGGCAATTGCTTCCAGCCGGACCAGCACCAATTACATTGAGGGATGGTAGGAGTATAGCTCCCACGCCAGTGCCAGTGCTTGACGGCCCCGTGCTGGGCAGCTCTTTCATGGGCGGTCCAGCATCTCGGGCAATGGAGTTGCCTCCCGCAATGCCTGAGCCTTTCGACCCGTCCAGGAAGTCTAAGCGTGGCCGGGGCAAGCTCGTCGGCAAATCCAAGGGCCACCGAAGCATCGTGCAGGCCATCTGTGGCGAGGTTGATGGTGACGGTGCTGCAAACGATAGTGAAGACGAAGAAGAAGATGGACGTGCGCCCAAGCGACCCCGACTGAGAAGAAAGGCCAAAGCACCGACCCAAGCCGAAATGAATGCACATCGTCGTCTGCAGTTGATGCATGATATTCAGCAACGCGTGATGGCGAATTTTATGGACGTGCAGGTGCACCGCGCCGCTATGAAAGCAGGAGATGAAGAAGCGACCGATGCTTTCGTGGAGGCCGCTCTGGGCATGCTCGATGACTTCACGGACATGAGGGTCTTCTTCCCTGACCGCGACAAGTATTTGCGGCTGAAGGAAGGGGACACTGCACGGTACAATCGTCACGGCAAGATTCCGGATGACGCGAAGACGCCTGAGAAGTTCCTTGCCATACCGTTTACGGACTGGCATCATACCTTCTCCGATCTTGCACTCGTCTATGCCCGCAATGCCGAACAGGATAAATGCTATCGTATTTTGCAAGACGTCCTCGCCGGTGCCAATGTCTTTTACCACAACAATCGACTCAAAATGACGACTTATGCCGTCTCCTTTTACTGCGGCTTGGCGTTCAACGACAATCAGTTCATCATCGACCTCGCCCGAGACTTGGTCAAGGACTCTGGTGACCGCGGTGGAGAAGCGTATCAAGTATTCGCAGCAGTCAATCGATTCGCTTTTGGCTCGAACTGGTTCTCTGCGGGACCGACTCAGAAATGGATGTTGAGAATGGTCAAATCGCACGACTACCTTGCCATGCCACCGGAAGTACGCGACCGATTCGACTTTTCACAGCAGACACCCAATTTGGCCAAGAAGAGCGCGGAACTCAACGGAGAACTACAGGATCTCGATGCCGGTGTCTTGCTGCTCTATGGACACATGGTTGCGGTCGCGAACCATAGCTTCTCCGCACTTCCATACTACTATCGTGCGTTGGCGCTGGATCCGGATAACATCTGCGTCAATCTCAGCATTGCCACCATGTGGATCCAGAACAGTATGAAGCGACAGACCAATAATCGACAGTACGGGATCCATCAAGGGTTAGCGTTTCTATTCCGGTACTACGACTTGCGCGTTGCGAGTGGCCTGGCCTGCCACCGACAAGAGGCGGAATTCAATGTCGCTCGCATGTGGCATTACCTCGGCTTGAATCATCTCGCTGTACCCGTCTACGAGAAGGTGTTGGCGTTGAGCGAGCACGTCCAGGCTGAAGCGTGGAGTGAAGAGGGCAGACGGGAAGCCGGGATCAAAGAGATGGGTGATGTGGTGGTGGTGGAGGATTTCGCGCAGGAAGCTGCTTTTGCGTTGCAGGGTATATATGCCGTGGCTGGTAATACTGCAGCTGCCAGGAGGGTGACTGAGGAATGGCTGGTCATTTGATCATGTACACTTGGAGTGCTGTTGCTTCACGATACCCATGTAGATGTTTTACACGCATCCTCCCCTTTTCCCAACACTGCCATTTCTAGCCGAGCCGAGCAATGATTCTGTTTCAAGCATACATTGTACATGTAGGTAATTACATCCTAAAAGAGTATCTATCATTGTCTAAAGTGAGCTCATATATCCAGTCTATATGTACCTATCTAGGACATGAATTCATTTCCGTCGTTCATTTATACCATCATCATCATCATCATCACCATCCTTCAACCGTCTCCCACCCAACAACTCCTCCTCATCGCCCAACCCCACCCTCTCTCCCGCTCCCCCCTCAACCCCCCTCTCCTCCTCATGCTGATGCAATTTCACATTAACAAACAACACCCACAACCCCACATCATAAACCAACCTACAAGCCCCACCCACCACAAACGCCACCCAAAACCTGTCACTCCCCGCCAAAAACCCCGTCACCATCGGCCCCGACGTCGCCGCCAACGTCCTCAATGCACTCGTAATCCCCATCACCGCCGTGCGTTCTCTCGGATGCACAATGGCTGCAATCAGCGCTGATCGAGGTGCTTGATCCATGTTGTTTAATGCCGAGCGGATGAAGAGGAATCCGACGCTCATCCAGAGCGTTGAGGGGAACGGGAAGAGGAGTACTGAGGTGGAGGAGGGGATGTGTGTGAATACCATGGTGTTCACTAGACCGATTTTTTTGGCGAGCGGGCTGGCGAAGAGGCCGCCGAGGGCGGTTAGGAAGTAGCTTATGGAGGTTACGTCGCCGAGGGTGGATTTTGAGGGGTGGAATTTTAGGTCCTGGAGATTGGGGGGAAGGGGGAAAGAAGGGTTAGTTGTGGTAGTTGTTTGATGGTTTTTCTTTTTTTTTTTTTTGTGTGTGTGTGTGTGGAGTGGAAGGTAGGGTTGGGAACTTACCATGTAGTAGTTGGTGAGACTAAAGGGGACCATGCCATCTGCGAGAGAATCAATGGCGAGAAGTACCCATAACTTCCAGACGACCTTCAAGGTTGGTTTGGAGATGTCTCCCGTCCATTTTAGGATCCAGGATCGAAGACTGTCAAACCTTGTAGACGGATTCGTCGGGGTTGGTACAGATACTTCTAATAAACCTGGAGATCGTGAAGAAGCTTCATCAGCAGAGCCGCGATCCTGGTGTTGTTGGTCAACAACCATCGCGAACGATTCCTCATCACTCTCATCATTATCTTCTTCCTCATCACTCTCCTCATCATCTTCTTCTTCTTCCACTTCCACTTCTTCCACAATCTCCTCATACCCCTTCCTCCCCTCCCCCCTCCCCTCCGCCTCACACTCCCTCGTAAGCAACAACACAACCCCAATATTCACCACTCCCATACCCGCATACATCCAAAACACCGCATGATACGCCTCCTTCAACCCCCACCCTTCTCTCCTCTGCAAATTCTCAATCATTCTCCCTCCCACTTCACTCCCCAACGAAGACCCCCACGCCGACGCCGTCACATACCACGCCAACACATCTGCGCGCGTCCCCGGCGTCGTCAATTGCGAGAGCATGGATTCCTCAATCGATCGAAACGGACCAAAATCCCCTCCGGTCGCGGATACGACGCCGATGATGGCGGCGAAGAGTAGTAGCCAGAAATTTTCACAGAGTGCGAATGTGAGGCCCGTGAAGACCATGAGGAGACTTCCTATGAGGAGGATTTTGCGACGGCCGAAGCGGTCGGCGATGAGGGTTAGGAATGTTCCTAGGAAGACGTCTCCTACACTTTTTGTTTTGTTTTTTGTTGTTGTTAGTTGGGAATGTGGAGGGATTTGATGGATGGGGGAGCTGATGACGACGACGACTTACAGAGTCATGGACATGAAGAGACCGATTCGACGGTCGGAGAAACCGAGTTCAGCGAAGAATAATGCTGTTGTTGGAAGGAAGGAAGAAATAAGTATATCATCAGCTTTTCCCGTTCTTCTTCTCTTTTTTTTAATAACAAGAAACAAAACAACGAAATGCAGATTATCATAATTTCTCGCTCAAGACATCAATCAACCAAACAAACATAATCAACGATAACGAAGAGAGAGAGAGAGATAGAGAGACAAACAAACATACCCAAAATAACCGCATTCGTTCCATATGCCAACATACGAAGACTTCTCGCCAGAATCATAAGATAGGCATTCCGCCCCGTCTGGTGTACGCTCACCAATCCAAATTCATGATAGAACCATTCCCAGGGTCGTCTTTGGACGACTGCTGCTGCTGGTGCTGCCATTCAAACAATAAATTTTTACCTCGCGTCGGAGTGGAATGAGGGGTGTAAAAGATCGGTGAGTATGATATGATTTCTTCTCTGTTTCTCTGCTTCTATCGGACTGTATCATCAATATATGAGCCAGAGAGACGAGATGTGAGAACTGTATCAAAATCAAAAAAAAAAAAAAAAAAAAAAAAAAAAAAAAAAAAAAAAAAAAAAAAAAAA